TCCAAGGGTCCGTCACAACAGCAAGGACACATAAATGACCCGGTAATACAGCGAGGGCAGTCACCCGAGTTGTGTACAGTTACCCGAGTCGGATCTGAAAACTCAAAGGGAATGTACCCATGTTAAGTGTATCTCAGATAGACCCTTCGCATTAACTTGTATCACTATATAAACCCAGTATCCCTTTGCTATAATCAATTCTGTTTAAGCTGCAGTACATATTCCATGGAATGTGGTGATCATTACAGTGTGAGTAAGGTAGGAAAACCTCTGATTGGGCAGCGAGAGTGGCGTCATTTTGTCACATCGGAAGCGGGAAAGCACAGGGGCGGATGCAAATGGGGATTGTCAATATTCGACATTGAGGGGGCGGGAGAGTGCGGATGTAGGGGAGAAGGGGGGGGGGGGAGAGGGAGAAACGAGTCATAACTGCAGGGGGGAACCGCGGGGGCGCTACAAAGGGCAAAACGGGAAAATTTTCGGGGGAGAACCGAATGTCAACATTAGGAAAATAGGGGTGTGCGCTGCAGAGGGGAGAAACAAATTTGCGGGGCGGGGGTACACAATTTCGCAGCGAGAATGGGGTCTGTAGTACACAAGCCCCACATTTGTGTTTTTGGATGTTTTCCGCGAAAGGCGAGGCGCTTGTTTTGTCAGAATAACCAAGTGAGCTCTAGCAAGTGCACGAACCTGTCTAGCTTATAACTATACATGCACACCCCCTAGGCTAGATGAGGGGCAGTGCCTAGCAAGAGACACGCAGCTCATGGCGGCACTATTAGTCCAACCTCTAAGGCAGGGGTCCGAAGACCAGATAGCAGGAGTACAAACCTAACAAGAGTAACTTAGGGCAGCACTAGTAGTCCTGCCACTGGGACAAGAGCCACAAGGCCAATCAAGATAATGTAAGGAATAGTACACAAGTCAGGATCCTAGCAAGTGAGGAGCTACTGGAACTAGACCAAGCTGTAAGTAGTGCCGCTAATGATCTTTAGGCGCAAGCGCCTTGGTAAAGATATCAGCTGTGTTGGCACCGGGGGCTAAGTGTACTACGCGTGCGTGGCCGCGCTACTGTAGCTTGCACAAAAGGAAGCACCGCAGCTGGATGTGCTTCGCCCTGCACACTCGGAGTTGGAGAGACGGGACGAGCACGAGAGGGGCGGTGAGACCACCAGTGAGAGGGGGGCGTAGGGTCAGGAGACAAAGGAGGAGACACAGGAGGAGAACGAGGGGGGAAACGAGCTGGGGAGGAGTTCGGCGGAGGGAACACGGGGCCGTAGAGAGGAGGAAGAGGCGGCGCTAGGGGAGGCGCAGGCGAGCGGTCAGGAGAGGGAAGACTGAGGAGGCGAAGGGCGGACACTGGCGGCGACTGCTGCTGCTGCTGCTGCTCCGCGCCCACACCAGGATCTCCAGCCGCACCATGGCTACCTCCAGGGCTCACCACGATGGCACCCTTAGGACCAGCACCCCCAGAACTAGAACCCTCCCAAGAGTCAGCACCCCCAACGCCAACACCCCCAGAGCCCATGGACCCCTGCAGCTACCGCGGCTGCTGCTGGCGGCGGAGGAGGCACCGGGGCCGAGGGTGTAGGTGCCACAGACACCAGCGGCTGACTCGGAGCCTCAGGGCTCCTCGGGTCGACAGACTCCTCCACCGAGCCAACCGAAGGAAGGGGAGTAACGCGAGACACACTAGACGGGGCAGGATGGTGAGCGGGAGCTACCGGGGGCGGGGTAACGGGGAGACCTCGGTGGGGCAAATGAGTGTAGAAGAAGACAGACTCGTCAAAGGTGATGTCACACGAGTGGAGGAAACGGTGAGACGATGGGTGATAAAAGTGCCAGTCAGGAGCGTCAAGGGGGAAACCAAGGAAGACACAAGGGACGGTGCGGGCGGTGAGCTTGTCCACGCGAGAGTCGCGGATGTGAGCTAGGCAGCCCCAGACGTGAAACGCAGACGCGTCACCAGGGGACCCGATCAAGAGAAGGGTTGGCGAAACCTGTGGGCACGAAGAGCGGGGGCACGGAATAATAACGTCATGCACGTCGGCCTTCCGCTCCAGGATAAGCACTGTGGTGTAGCGCGACTAGTCGTCTACGAGAACCAGAAAGTAGCGCTCACGACACGGCCCAGGGACTGGGGTTGGGCCCCACACGTCCAGGTGCAGGGTCTTGAGTTGCACAGTGGTGGGGGGAAATGAGGAGGAGTGAGGAGCAAGGCGCAACCGACCCTCGATGCAAGGTGTGCACGGAGGCGCGGGCGAGGGAGTGAGGACAGGGAGCGAGGCTGGGAGACCTAAAACAAGACCGTGCTGGGACATGTGACGCAAACGCGGGAGTGCGGGGTGACCTAGGTGGTGGTGCCACACAAGCGACGGGTGGATGAGCAACCGACACGAGCAATCCGGAGCAACCTTGGTAGACGAAGCCACCTGGGGGGATGCAGCCACCAAGGGGGACGTGGTGTCCAGCGTGAACAGGCCAGACATCGGGTTCCAAGGGAACGAGGTGAGAGGGTCACCAGTGGCGGCCTCAGTACAGACCGCGTGCCGCTCATACCCAAGAAACGTGGTGGTGACGCCAATGTCCTGAAGACAGCCGACACCAACCAGCTTCGTGGAGAACGAGGGGATGTGCATTCCTGTAAGAGAGCTTGAGGGAATCCCCGGTCAGGGAAGCGTGGTGGAGCTACGTGCAACTGCCAGACCGAAAGAGGGGTCGGCAAGGGAGACGGCTGCTGGTGCTGAAAGCGGCGTGAGAGTGGTGTGGACGCTGAAGAAGCAGGCGGATGCACCAGAGTCCAACGTGAAGGAGATCGCGGCGGTAACGTCAGCCGGCAGGGGCACTAGCATGGAGCTAAAGCTAAACAAGTCAGGAGGTCCTACGCCTGAGGCAGCAGGGGAGCCTAGACTACACATAGCAGGCACACCTGGGCTAGGCAACTTAGGGTAATAAGGTTCTATAATACTAGACTCATCAGCATACATGGCATACAAAGCAGAGCGGATCTGATCCATATCCAGTCCGGGGCAGGATTGAAGCAGATACAGAAAAGTTCGTCGAGGCGATGCTAGTAGCGGGCGGCGGTGTGACAGGGATGGTCGCACATGGTGCCATGACAGGGACTGGTTTGAAGCTGGTACTGGCAACTCACATAAATGAAGCCGCCACCCGACGTCGAGCTGCAAGTGTCGCCTCTGCGGCCACCACCACCGAAGCCGCCTGGCCACTACGGTGGCGGGGCCCCCCATTGCTGCTGTTGGTGCTCCTTCTGCTGCTCTGGGGCATCAGCCCCCACCCCCTCGTCTCCACTCCCAGCACTCCCACCACCGCCACCTCCCCCGCCACTCCTACCACCCCTAGCACTCTTCCCACCCTTACGCCTCCCTCCGGGGCGACGGGGGGCTCTACTGACAAGGCTGCACTGAGGCCGCCGTGACGGACTCAGCGACAGGGACTGTCTCACCGACAGCAGCGGAAACGTCAGAGTAAGTGCACTGGGAGGGAGCACAGCCCTTGAAGATAGAGACGGCCACAGTACCGGTAGACTGAGCGATAGTGAGCTGGCGGGTCTCTATCGTCGACAATGTGGTGACGAAGTCGCTAAGGGTGAGGTCAGCGGGGTGGAGACTAAGGATGTTGTCGCGGGCAGTCGCGAGGCAGTCGGGGAGACAAGCGGCTAGGAAATAAAGCGTAGCACCGAGGGGGGGAGGATGTACAGTGAGCTGAGCCTCAGTGCTGGCAGCATGGTAGCTAATCTCAAGAGCTCGCAGGTGAGTGGCAAGATCAACGACAGTGGGGAAGGACGCGAGACCAGGGAAGAGCAGGGGCAGGAGGAGACGGCCAGCAGAGGCGGATGAGGGAGTGAAATAGCGAGCAATGACTGCATCTAGGTACTCCTTCGCAGTCTCTATGGCCTGAAAGCGGGGACACTCAGACCGGGGGAGAGTGTGACTGATAGCTAGCTGCGCAGTGGCGTGACGCGACTCCCAAACAGAGCGGGCGAGCTCAGCAGCGGTAAAAGCCTCACGCTCAGCAGGCGTGGGGGCGTCAGGGTGGGCAGCAGGCACGGGGAGGGGAGGGGGGGGCAGAGCAGCTTATCGTCGACATGGACGGCCATGGACTGGCCATCCTGGCGCTGACCCTTAAGCTGGCTGAGCCACGCCTCAAAGTCGACAGCTCGACCCTCCGCGTCCAGGCGGAGAACAGCGTCCACCATGACGCACAGCTGCAGCAGCTGGAGAGCTCAGACGGAGGAGGAGCACGGAGCAGGCGGGTGTGGTCGGTTGCTCTAGAATGCGGTGGAGTGCGGTAGAGTATGATGGAGCGCGATGGAGTGCGGTGGAGCACGGTGGAGCACGGTGAAGCCGCGGGAGAGGAGACAGCCGGCGAGGGCACAGGCGCAGTGTAGAAACCAGGGCCGGCGGCGAGTTGGGGCCGGTAGCGACCAGGGGCCGGCGGCGAGCAGGGGCTGACATGGCGAGCAGGGGCCGACGCAGCGAGCTGGGGCGGCGCGGCGAGCTGGGGCCGGTGCAGCAAGTTGGGGCGGCGCGGCGAGCTGGAGCCGACGCGGCGAGCTGGGTCCGGCGGCGAGCTGGGGGGCACACGGCGAGCTGGGGCCGTCGCGGCGAGCTAGGGCGGCTCGGCAAGACGGGGTCGACGCGGCGAGCTGGGGGCCGCGTGGCGAGCTGGAGCCATCGCGGCGAGCTAGGGCGGCGCGACGAGACGGAGCCAACGCGGCGAGCTGAGGCCAGCGCGGCACGGCGAGCTGAGGCCAGCGCGGCACGGCGAACTAGGAACCGACGCGGCGCGGCGCGGCAGGCTAGGGGCCAGCGCGGCGGGCTAGGGCCTGCGCGGTGAGCTAAGACCAGCGTGGCGCGGCGGGCTAGGGCAGGTGCGGCGAGTTAGGGTAAGGGCGCTCTACGGTAGGCTAGGGCGGAAGAGCGGGTGGGTGGGATCTACCAAGTGTGATACTATGTCAGAAGAATCAAGCCAGCTCTAGCAAGAGCATACAGACAGGGTAAGACAGTTAGCTTGTGGTTTCAACAGATTTCAATTATGGCGATGAATGATATGACCACTATTAACTCAATGCAAGAATTAATGCTTCAACATTAATTGTAAGGCAGCACTGCAACCAGTATACACATCTAACCAGTATAGAATGAGAAACAGTAAGCCTTCTAAGATTTCTCAAGGGCGACCTTGCGGAGAGCATTGGCCCTAATGAGGCTGCCAATGGTGTTCACGGCAAGCTTGAGGTCATCAAGGGGGTTGCCGGGCACGACAATCTTGTAGAGGTAGCTGTCAAACGTCATCTTCTGCACGTAGTCGTCCGCACACATCTCCACAAACGCCTCGCGGGCAGGATTGGAGCGGTAGAACACCTTCTGGAGAATGTCCAGCACCTGAGAACACATTCCCATACATAGTATAAGGGAAAGTACCAGCAGTGAGATCAGCAGCGGTTCTATCACCCAAGTCCTAAGCCCTGGCCGGGACTGTCCTTGTATCTTACCTACATGAACAACTGGTTCTCTGACCTGCCCTCCTGTACCAAATCCACATACTGAGATGTGCTTTGAGAATCAACTAGCAAGCACCAAGGTGCAATGCATTACCTTCCACATTGCTTCGCCTTACCTGGTAGGTGGCCCAGTACTTCGTGTCCCACATGTCCAGGTACAGATGCAGGTCAGACTCATTCACCATGCCATGTGCATACCATGCCAGGTACACACCCATACCATGCCAGGTACACACCCATACCATGCCAGGTACACACCCATACCATGCCAGGTACACACCCATACCATGCCAGGTACACACCCATACCATGTACATTGCCCAGACATATCAATCTCTGTGCAACCAAGAGCCTCTACCGCCATACCTTGTAGGTGGCCCAGTACTTCTTGTCCCACTTGTCGAGGTACACGCGCAGGTCAGACTCGTTCACCATGCGAGTGCCCTTCTCAGAGCCCTCCACAATGGCCTCTGCTGCCATGCGCCCAGACTTGGCAGCGAAATAGATGCCCTGTAAAGCCAAGGGAGGAAAGGCGATGCAAGAGGTGGGGAAAGGGAGGTGGAGGGGTAGATAGAGAGATAACAGGTGAACTAACGGTGTGAAAGGGGCGGATGGATAGAGAGGTGGATCAGGGCCCTCCGCAATGGCCTCTGCTCTGCTGCCATGCGCCCAGACCTGACATGCAAGTAGATGCGCTGGTCAGCACTGGTGTAGCATGCCTGATAGAGTGCGGTATGGGTTCACCATGCGAGTTCCCTTCTCTACACTGCTGCCATGCACCCAGACTTTGCCGCGAAGTAAATGTGCTGGGAGAACAAGAGATGAGAGGGGAGAGCGAGGCGGGGAAGTGACGGGTTGGCTCAGAGTAGAGCTCCGCGGGCATGAGAAAAAGGACGACACAACCACGGCATCAAGTTCTGGGGGGCCTAAAAATTTGCGATGGGTAGCTCAGGGTAGAGCATGGCGGACATGAGAGGAAGTGATGTTACAGACAGGGCATCACAGGGGGGGGGGATGATGGACGAAGAAGGGGGGAAGGAAGCCAACACTAGTCACCAGCACAAGAAATGCAACCCGGCGGCTACGCCCCCTTCACGCACCTCGCCTGAGCACTTGGTGACGTAGCCCGCGGCGTCGCCCACCAGCGCCACGCGGTTGGAGGTCCGGCGAGGGCGAGGGTGCTCGGGGATGGGGTGCGCCTCCACGCGGATGATCTTGCCGCCCTCGATTTTGTCCTTGGCGCGGTTCCTGGTGGCGGTCTGGTACTGCTTGATGGCGGGCTTGTTGATCACCGTGCCCGTGCCCACTGCCACGTGGTCACACTTGGGGAACACCCAGCCGTAGAAGTCGGGCGACACGTCATCGCCGACGTACATCTCGGCCAGGTCCTCGTAGTACGCCATCTTGTCCTCGGGCAAGCGGATGCGCTCCTGTGGTGTGGTGGGAGGTGTAGATGAACAAGGAACGCGAGCAACACAAGGGGAGGAAAGTGCGACTTAGACGTCTGAGGTTTGAGTGACCCAAGTCTCCCAGCCACGTCATCGCCCGCCCACGTGCATCTACGCCAGATCCTCCTAGACAAGCCGTCTTGGCCTCGGGCAGACGGATGCGCTCCTGTCCTGGGGGGGATGCTAAACCGATGATAAGAGAGTTCACAAAAGACCAAGTACCAATAGTAGATTGTTTCCAAGGTGCCCTGTGCAGCATAGTGCGACAGACATGGCCACATGAGCAGGCTGCAGCACAAACTACAAGCTCGATTCGTCTCCGACATAATAATGAGTAATATTTCGTACCTGGAAGGCGATGGCGTAGTCGTAGTCGCCCGCGTCGATGTCCTTGGCCACCCTGCTGTTGGCGCCATCAGCGCCGATCACGGCGTCAACCTCGAGCGTCTTGGGCACACCGACCTGCATCGACCAACAGCAAGGCAGCAGGGCAGAAAGGCAGCAAAAAATACATGAGATCAGTGCTTCACCACCCTGCTGCTGGCGCCGTCCGCACCGAACACGGCGTCAACCTCGAGCGTCTTGAGCGCGCCCACATGCACCATCCAGCAGCAAAGCAGCAGCCAACGAGTTTGTTGAGCCTTGGCCACGATTAAAAAACCACGATCAGCACTCAAAGCCAGCCTGACCTTGGAGTCGACGGCATAGCAGGAGTAGTGGATGACATAGGGGCTGTCCTCGTCCTTGGGCACGTCGATGCGGAGGCACAGCCCGTTGGTAACGGCTACACGGCGCGACGGTGATCAACACTACAAATCGGTAGGAAACGGTACGGTTCGGTTAGCACCTTGGAGTCGCCGGCATAGTCGGAGTAGTGGATGACGTAGGGGCTCTCCTCGTCCTTGGGCACATCCATCCTCAGGTACAGCCCGTTGATCACCGTCGCGCCGTACGACTGGGCGCGGTTGCGCAGGAACGCGTCGAGCACCTCGCGGCGCACCATGCCGATGTACTCGTCCTTGCCGAGCGTGCGGCCGACGTCCACCTCGACATTGGAGGGGGAGATCATCTTCATCTTGGTCACGCGCCTGTCGATGATATCCTGGGGGAGCTGCAGGGACAGGGAGCATCGGCAACAGCCAGGAGCGATGTTGGAGCACGCAGTCCGTTCTTGCTTCGCGGTCACCGAAGCAGAAAAACGCGAAAAAATAAGAAAAATGAGCGGATCCGTTTCAATCATGAAGGGTTCGCAAGAGGCCTGTTCGGAAGGCACTGATCACTCGATTGACGAATCAAGACCATCAAAACCCAGCGGTTGGACACCTAGGTTGGAAATTCACGAAGGAGGGTTACCTGGAAATTCAAGAAGGAGGGTTACCTGGAATTCATCAACCATGCAGAGGGGGATGGCGCCGCCGCACGGCTTGGCGTTGTCGAGCTTGCGCTCGATGAGGAACGTCTCCACGCCGTTCTCTGCCAGGGTCTCCGCCGCGCACCCGCCCGCCGGGCCGCCGCCGATAACTGCAGCGAACGATTGAAATCAAACGTTAAGGTTGGACGATGTTGAAAAATGAGAGGAAAAGCGCATGGTAAAAGGCGGATGGGAGAATGTCAGATGGTTTGTGGAATCTAGTAATTTCGTTCCGTCTAGCAAACCCGGTCCAGAACGACGTGGAATCAAGGTAATGTGAGCACAGGAGGACATCATCGAAGATACATCAAGACCCGACCTTCCTTCCCCAGTGTTCGTGGATCTAACGACTGTGGGCGACGAATCCCTCACCAGCAACGCGGAGCTTCCTTCCTTGAATCTTCTTGCTGTTCCTGCTGGCGAGAACGGTCAGGGTGAAACCCTTCTCAGCAGCAGCTGGAGCCTCAGCAGCCACGGGAGCAGCCACCTTAGCGCCGGACAGGAAGGAAGACGCAGAGGACGACGCCGAGTTAACGCGCATGCCATCGAACGCCTTGAACGACGGAGCAGCGGCTGAGTGGGAGAGGGAAGCAGAGAGGGAGGCGCTCGCCTGCCGTCTCTCCTGGGTCGCTCCGCGCTGCTGCAGGCCCGCGGCCGCGACGAGGCTCGTCTTCGCGCACAGGGAGAGAGCCATGGCGACTGACTGGCACGCGTGAACAGGGAAGGGGCTTCGAAAGGATTTTTTTTCTAAGCCGGAGTCGTGAATGGGCGTTCACGAACGTGCCAGGAATAGGACGTCGAGTCTCCTAGAGAGGTATTGTGCCCTGGGAAGAATCTAGCAGGGTAGTGACAGCACTAGACTAGGGAGGGTGATGAAGAGAGTCCGCCCAGTACACTCCCCTGCGCAAACTAGGATCCAGCCTTAGAGACTGTTTACACTTACCGATTGTAGACACGTTACAGGGTGCAAATCCAGATCAGGAGCGTTTGTCGCCACCGTTGAGCACAGGATCTAGATCGGTTTTTAATGTAATTTATAATCCATGAGACTGAAACTAACTTTAATAATATATAAAACAACACGCCCCGATAGACTGAAGAGTTCATTGCATGACGTGGCCCTTCAGAACGGGTTACGGCATCCGAAGCGTGCCACCGAAAGACTCACCATTCGCAGGCGCGGATTTGCAGCTGACGTGGAGCCGGACCGGGGGGAATGCTCCCAGCTTCCAGTTCGGGCAGGAGGGGGTGACCCCATCTTCCCCAAGCCCGAGGTGGACCTCATCCCCCAAACGTGATCAAGAACCAATCACTAGTGTCGGATTTCCTCGAGGTAAAATAGGCACACCTGAGACGCGAAATATACCCGTGATAAGCAGGGAGCTTCTGACATAGAAGCTGCGCGATCACTGTCAGAACAAAAGCCGAAAGTTCACGTCAAGCCTAAGTCGAAGCCAATTGAACACAACTGAGTGAGACCCTCATTTGTACAATCTCGAGCCCCTGGATACTGATGCTTGGATGATGATTTGTAAGAAACTGATCTCCTGACGTCGTTACTGATTTGCTTGAATATATCATTCGTACACGGTTGCTAAACCTTGACCTACAAATAGCAATGGGTGAGAGCAAGGCACGTTGGTTTGCGAGCTGAGGCTCCAGTGCTTGATCATAAAGAGAACACCAAAATTAATGTTTGCTTTGTGTCTGCGGTAACTAGAGAGCGTTCGAAGAGGTTCCGGGGCTGATGATTGGCCTGTGATGGGGTGTGTGTTGATGATGGTGCACCTACTGCATGGAGCAAGGGACTGAAGGGAGGGATGGGTGCCGATCGGGACGACGAAATAAAGGAGAGAGGAGAAAGGGTTTAGACGATGTGACTGATTGGATGGCGGTTTGCATGTGGCTGGGTCTGTGTAGACGCTGGTGCATCTACTGCAAGGAGAAAGGGACTGAGGGGGAGGACGGGTGGGGGGGGTGATGTAAACGAGGAGGGAGGAGACATGGATTAATGTGGTGGGGTGGGTCTGTGTTGACGACGCATCTCTAAGACAATATTCATGGAGGAAGGAGAGGGTGAGTATGGGAAATTTTTGAGCAAGGAGAAAGGGGTACAGGCAGAGAAGGGTATAAAAACAATCATTCTTAAGGCTTGGAGGGAGCTGAGAGCAAACAATTGGACTTTTTTTTTCTTTTTTTTTTAATGAATACTTGCGAGTGTACTACAGCAAAAAGAAAGAAAAAAACCCAGAGCTTCCAGAACAGCGCCCCTCACCTCAAAGGAAACGTCTTGACCAACCAGCTCCTTCCACTTGTCCTCATCATATGGTGCCACGTCAGCACCTCCCACAACAATGTTGGGCCGAAACCGCAGTACCCATGTGTCATCAGCTTCCATATCCATGTCCACGTCAGCAGCCTGAGAAAATCCTGATGACCCGGCAGCAGCTGGTGCTGATGTGGAAGACGTTCGATCTGTTTCCAAGCCAGAGCCCAGACCGTTAGGTTCGGCAGGGTTACCGAGCCTAAGGCGCCAATCAGCAGGGCAACAAGGAGTTACGGTGGAAGGAGGCCCAAGGGAAGAAGATTTGGAGCTGGATCGCTCATTTTGAGAATTCGCCTCCGCTCCTCTTCTCCCTTCCGTTTCTCTTCCCTCTCCTCCTCCCATCAGCCCGCCCCCTGCCCCATGCGCCACTCTCCTCCTGAGATCTGCCAGGCTGGCAGATGAGACCAGTAATAGCTGACCCTCATTGGCTAGTGAGAGAGAGGACGACAGAGAGGGGGTGGAAGAGGCGGGGGTGTTGGGTTGGAGAGAGGGAGAGGAGGAGGAGGAGGAGGAGGGAGATGGAAGAGGAACGGAGGAAGAAGTAGATTGGGAGGCTTGGATGGTGCTGATATGATTGTCCTGGCTGTTGAGGATGCTTCTCGGCAGCTTCTTCTGCTGGCGGGCGTGCGGCAGGAGCCTCACGAGCTGACATGGCGTGCCGAGGGCGGAGGAGAGCCAGGCGGCCACGTCAGCAGGGTACACTGCCACGTGGACGCTGACGTGGAGGAGACGGGGAATAGCAACGTAGGACATGAAGCGAGAGGCAATGATATTCACACGAGGGACAGAGGCTGCATTGGACTGGGTTAAGTGAAGCATGCATGTCTCACACACACCCAACAAGGAAGCACAGGAGGTGACTTATGAATCGACTCAAGTGTCACTAGGTACAGAGTTTTTCTACTGTGCTCATGCATCAGCACCGGTACACACTGACTGATCATAGAGTGCTGCAGAGTGGAAAAAACTGTTCAGGGTTTACTGTGCCCATGCACAACGCATACAATAACATGGATGTGCAGGGTGTTTTTGAGAATTCTAAAAAACACCCCGCATACAATAACATGGAAAGAACCTCAACACACCTGTCGCCACACACTCTCAGGTACCCATGAAAGTACAGAGTGCCAGGTACAGAGTGCCAGGTACAGAGTGCCAGGTACAGAGTGCCAGATACAGAGTGCCAGGTACTGAGTGCCAGGTACAGAGTGCCAGGTACAGAGAGCTAAAAGTGCACCAACCATGTGCATACAATAACATGGAAAATATCTCCACACACCTGTCACCACACACTCGCAGGCCATCCAGCCTGGCATCAGGCCACTTGTCAAGAGGCAATTGGAGGGGAGACGTAGGGGCTTTGGCCGCTGATGTGGGGGCGACCGCAGGAGTGCCTTCTGGAGGTTTCAGGTGAATCGAGAGCAGGCGGGAAGCCAGGTCGATGGAGGGGCGGAGGCTGTACAGCGAGGGGACCTGATCAGGGGAGAGGGGAGGAGGAAGAGGGGAGGAGGCAGAGGGGAGGAGGCAGAGGGGAGGAGGCAGAGGGGAGGAGGAAGACGAGTATGGAGGGAATAAATCAGGGGGGAAGTCAACAGACACCGGGGCAGAGAGATGGTGGATGCGGAGTATGTGGGAAGCAAGGTTGAGGAACAGAGGAGCAAGGTAGCTGGAGAGGAGGGGAGAAGCAAGGCTGATGAAGCGGCGGTGGCGGAAAAATGAGGAGAGGGGAGAAGGGGGAGGGGGGGGAGGAGGCTGATTGGGGGAGCCGGATCCATCGACTACGCTTTTCAGCCTCATCTGGGTGGCAAGAAAACGCTGGAGGCGAGACGAAAGGATGCTTGATAGAACAATCAGGCGACTTGAGGGAACTGAGGCTGCGCTGCGGAGTGCCTTGATGGAATGAAGGCGGTGACTTTTGAGAATTCTCAAAAACACCCTGCAAAATCAAGGGTGACTTTTGAGTTGACTCAAATGCCACCTCGGCTTGAAAGGAACAACGCTGTGTGGCGGAGTGCATTGGTTGAATGCAAGAGGGTGGAGAAGAGGTGCCTGATGGCTGGATCGGTGGGGTATGGCTGCACCGCAATCAGCACAGGTCGGCCACGTGCACAGGGATACGAGCTGCTAAAGAGTTTGATCAACTTGAAACAAACAACGCTGTGCAGCGGAGTGCATTGAATGCAGGAGGGTGGAGAAGAGGTGCCTGGTGGCTGGTTTGGTGAAGTGGCTTAGGCTGCAATTGGCACAGGTTTGCCACGTGGACAGGTTTGCCACGTGGACAGGTTTGCCACATGGACAGGTTTGCCACGTGCATAGGTTTGCCACGTGCACAGGTTTGCCACGTGCATAGGTTCGCCACGTGCACAGGTTTGCCACGTACACAGGTTTGCCAAGTACACAGGTTTGCCACGTGCACAGACTTGCCACGTGCACAGGCTTGCCACGTGCACAGGTTTGCCACGTGGACGTGCAAGTGAAGGGTTTCAAGCTGCTAAGCTGCTACAGGACTTCTTTCAAAACATCTCCAGTTACAAGGCTGCTACTTAGCCGTCACTTGCGCGTTCCTTACTCGGTTGGGTTTCAAAGGCGAGCCCATGGCGTAAATTAATGGTGAGTCTATTTTGAGGTGCCTAAACAATCTTACCCGGTTGGGCCTCAAGGGGGAGCCCATGGCATTGATGATGAGCCACTCGCGGTCATGCAGCAGGCCTGAAGGCACGACATGGCATGAATGGCATGGTATGGGTGGCATGGCATGGGTGGCATGGCATGGGTGGCATGACATGGGTGGCATGGCATGGATGGCATGGCAGTGGTGGCATCAGAAATAGAGTAATCACGGCAAAACAGGTGAACGGAAAAAGGGCACGACCTGCCAAATCGAACAGAGAAGGACTGTATTGGCACGAGCGGACGCAAAAACGGCATGACATGGCCCCTAACGCTGCTGCGTCCTTAAGTGCAAGGGATGCATGACTAAACTGCACTGAAATGCATGCATGGCATGGCATGGCATGGCATGGCATGACATGGAACCTAACGCTACTGCCACTCACCAGTAGGTCCCAGCAGCCGTGACTCAACTCGTATGGGAGCACACGACTTGACTGGGTACACAAACAGCGCCTCTACAGTCACAACCTTTACTGTGACATGGCAGGTACTTACCAGAAGGCCCCAGGGGCCATGACTTGACTTGCATGGGAGCACACGACTTGACTGGGTACACGAACAGCGCCTCTACAGTCACAGTCCGTGCAGGCACATCCGCTCGAACCAGCTCCTCCTGTCCTGCACGTTCTGATGTTTCCGCTCCTCCCTCAATGAAACTCCCATAAGCTACCCTGTCCTCTTCAGCAGCAATAGCAGCAGCGGAGGCATCAGCGGCAGCAGAGGCAGGAGGAGAGGCGGAAGCAGGGAGGGTGGAAGCAGGGAGGGTGGAAGCAGGGAGGGTGGAAGCAGGGAGGGTGGAAGCAGGGGGCGTGGGAGTGAGGCTGCTGCTTGTGGTTGAGGCTGGCGGAACGGAGTCAGCGGATGGGATGGGATTGGGAGAAGAGGAGGAGACGGTGTGCTGAGGTGGAAAGTGCTGAGGTGGACCATGCTGAGGTGGCAGCTCCACAAAGCATGTTTGGATGAACGAGAGGAAAGCCTGTGGTGGTTGGGAAGGGAGAAAGGCGTTGCAGCTTAAACTGTGAAGGATGTAATGGCCGGGAGTAAAGGCTTCGAGGTTAAGACTTGAAAGGCTATTTAGAATTCCAAAAAAAAAAGAGACGATTCGTTTGAAAGCCACGTGTCAATAATGGCGACACGTCTCAAAGGGAGATTCACAAAAATAAAAGCCATCCCCCATACCTCCACGTCACCAATTGTTGACAGGTGTCCGAACGAGATTCGCACAGCACCAGTTGGCCGCCCGGCAATGATGTCGTTGTCATCCCAGCACACGTGGCCCGCCTCGTAGTTTTGAAGGAGTTGGGAGTGAGAGAGGCGGAGGTGCTTGGCACACGCACCAGGGTTGCAGAAACAACCGGTCTGTTTAGAGGAGGGGTGGGGAGTAGGGAGATCGGGAAATAGGGTTGTTATCATCCCAGCTCACATGGCCCGCCTCGGAGTTCTGCAGCAGCTGCGATGTAGATAGGCGGAGGTGCTTTGCACACGCACCGGGGTTGCAGAAGCAACCTGCCTGACAAGCGCAGGGGAAATGTTCGGATGGAGGGTGGAAATCACGTCATTGTCATCCCAACACACGTAGCCAGGCTCGGGATTTTGAATCAGCTGGGATTTAGATAGGCGAAGGTGCTTGGCACACGCACCGGGGTTGCAGAAACAACTAGTCTGACAAGAGGAGAGGTGGGGAGAAACGAGAGGGAAGAGGGGGGGGGAGGAGGGTGGGTGGGTTGGGGGAGGTGTTATCCTCGCAGCACACATGGCCCGACTCGTAGTTTTGGAGGAGTCAGGAGTGGCTTTTGAGTCGACTCAAAAGTCACCTCGTAGTTTCGGAGAAGTTAGGAGTGGTAGAGGCGGAGGTGCTTGGCACATGCACCAGGGTTGCAGAAACAACCAGTCTGGGGAGAAGAGAGGGAGAAGGGAGGTGGGGCGTTAATAACGCCCCACCTCCCCTCTGTTAAGAAACAGCCGGAATGTCAAGGGCACAGGAAGGGTGAGGTGAGGTGGCGTGGGGTGGAGTGGGGTGGAGTGGGGTGGAGTGGGGGAGTGACGTGACTATCATCCCAGTGCAGATGGTCCGACTGGTATCAAAGCAAAATCGGAATGCGACAAGTGACGGATTTGACAGTGAAAAAAACTTTCCCTCAGATGGTAAAGAGTCACGTGCAAGCACCCAAGGGCAAGCAGCTGGAATTAGTATTTCATACGACCATCGGACCAGGAGCAGCTCCCAAGGTCATATGAAATACTAATTCCAGGCTGAAAGCACTCGAACACCCTTCCTATCAAATCATCGACGCATCAAAGACTCATGCGTAGGTGGACAGAGTGGATGCCGGCCAGCTTCTCGACCTCCCTGTACCCCACCCTGTTCCCACCATTACTGCGCTTCCCGTTATCCAGTACTGCGGTACGGTGCCCAGCATCACAGTACTCATTCCATAGCATGAATCTTTGGCTGGGGCAGACTCACTCTGAGATGGATAGAGTGGATGCCGGCTAGCTTCTCCTCTTCCTTGTATCCCTCCCTCCCACCCATGACCCATCACTGCGCTTCAGCCTTCAGGTAGGAACGACCACCATCAAAGCACTCACTACAGCATGAGTGCGAAAGAAAATGACTCACTCTGAGATGGATAGAGTGGATGCCAGCTAGCTTCTCCACTTCCTTGTACCCCACCCACGACCCATCACTCCGTTTCAAGTTAAACGCCACCACTCCCCCCTGCTGCTTCAACACTGTTCTTCCTTCCTCCCCTTCCCCCCCCTGCTTGGACCCTGTTCCTTGCCTCTCCCCTACTCTCCTCTGTGGTTCGTCCATCCCGCCCTGCCCTTCCACCACTCCCTCTTCTTCCTCCCTGGCTCTCCTTTCTGCATCCTGAAACGCTTTCAGAAGCGTCCTGTGCCTTCCATACACTATGCAGGCACGCTGACCGTTGAAATGACGGAGGGAGAGAAGGTGAGAGGCGGTGAAGAGAGCAAGAGACGAGACGTGGCTGGACGGGTTGGTGGGGGACACAAGAGGGGAAAGGTGACTTTTGAGTTGTTAGCCATGATAGAGTTGGAGCAGCAGGTGACTTTTGAGTCGACTCAAAAGGCACCTCGTGGCTGGACGGGTTGGTGGGGGACACAAAAGGGGAAAGGCAGTGCGGTGAGAAACGATATGCTCTCCCACTTTTTTCCTTGAGCTCCTTTCAATAGCAGCGCCCTGTGCTTGCTATCCCCTTCCTGTGCTTCCCCGTGTGTCAGCAGCCGCAGTGCCCTGTGTCTGCCATACACTATGCATGCAGGCATGCAGGCATGCCAACCGGTGAAATGATAAAGGGAGGGAAGGCGAGAGGCGATGAAGAGAGCAGGAGAGGAGACGTGGATAGGTGGACGGGTGGGAAGAGGAAGAACAATCGACACTTTAAGAGGCGCTCCAATAATCAGCAGCAGCAGTGCCCTGAGTCTGCTGCCACATCCCTCCCTTGCTTCCCCGTGCACCTTCAGCAGCAGTGCCCAATAACTGCCACACACTATGCTTATGCCACGGCTGCTGACGTGGCTAAGGAGAGGGGAAATAATGGTGGGGGAGATGGCTCGCTCATCGGTTTCGCTCCAAGATCTGTACAATACTACCTAAGTACTGATCTTAGGTATTGCTCCATGCCGTTACCGAAGTTGTGCTGTGTGCATGCATCGACATTGAGCGAAAAACAAGCTGCCAGGATTTGAAGCTGAAACCGGATACGCACACCTTAGCGACCTTCCTTTGCTCATAGCTTTGCCACAGGACACTTGGAGACACCTCCTCGACTTGTACGGAGAACAACATCTCTTCGTTATGGCTAAAGTCACCGAACCAGTATTAACCTGGATCAGATTACCAAAGCCCATCAATGATATATTGCTCATATAAATCCAGGAAATCTCTCAAAATGTCGCGTGGCGAAACCGTGCGCTAAGGAAGTCGCAAACGAGCCATCCAGCTTCAAACAATTCGTGTGTATAACCGGCTTCTAGTTTCATGAATGCCCTCTCATCCTAATAGCACATAAAGTTGCAGCGAACCGAGAACTGCAGCAAAAAACATAACAAGGATACAACCACCTTCGTGCGTGCATGCATGCAACCTTAATGAGGCCAGCCAGAGAGAAAAGGAATGAAGGTGGCCTCTCTGGCCATAGGCACAAACATGGCTGACTATGGCATCGCACCTCACTAGAAAGGAGGATGGTGAGAGGCGGGTTAAAGGCTCACCTTTGAATCACTGAGAAGGAGAGATGGCCTGGAGGGAGCTCTGCTGCAAGCTAGTGGAATGGAAGGAAGATGTGCCGCCCTGCCCTCCCATTGCGATTCAAGAAAAACGGCTGGTCAGCGGAGGGTGACAAGGGCTTACTGTTGAATGGAGGAGACGGTAAGGCGCGAGACCAAGGCGAGGCCTGGAGGGAGCTCCGCTGAAAGTTGAAGGAAGGGCAGAGTGCCGTCTTCCCATCGTGATTCAAGAGAAAAAGGGCTGGTAAGCAGAGGGTGATAAGGGCTTACCGTTGGATGGCAGAAAATGAGAGGCGAGACACCAAGGCGAGGCCTGGAGGGAGCTCCGCCGCAAGCTGGAGGAAGGGGAGGGTGCCGTCCTCCCATTGGGATTCTAATGACGGGCGCAGAGACACAAAGTCGGAGTCTGCAAGAACTGCCGCCACAGTGCCTGTAGGGATGAGGGGAGGGAGGAGAGGGGTAGGCAAGTGGATGAAAGGGCTGCGATGGAGGAAGGGGAGTGCCGTCCTCCCAGTGTGCCTCTAAAGAAGCGCGCAGAGAGACAAAGTCAGAGTCTGAAAGAGCCGTCGCCACGGTGCCTGTCGGGGCAAGGGGAGGGAGGGAGAAGGAAGGAAGCTCTTCAGGAAGGATGGGGATGGAAGCAGGGAGATGGAAGCAGGGGGTTGGAAGCGGGGAGATGGAAGCGGGGAGATGGAGGAAGGGCAGGGGGAGACAAGGTCAGAGTCCGCAAAAACTGCAACTGAGACGCGCATCCTGAGAGTCCGTAGTGCCTGAGAGGCGCATCCTAAGAGTCCGTAGTGCCTGAGAGGCGCATCCTAAGAGTCCGTAGTGCCTGAGAGGCACATCCTGAGAGTCCGTAGTGCCTGAGAGGCACATCCTGAGAGTCCGTAGTGCCTAAGAGGCGCATCCTGAGAGCCCGTAGTGCCTAAGAGGCGCATCCTGAGAGTCCATAGTGCCTGAGAGGCGCATCCTGAGAGTCCGTAGTGCCCGAGAGGCGCATCCCCTCTTACCTGCAATCCCCTCGTACCTGCCATCCCATGCCACTGCGCATGCCACTCGTACCTCCACCGAAGTAAGGCTTGCGAAGGATGGAAGCAGCGTCTGAGAGTGCTTTGAGTCGAGTCAACAGCAGACTCACCTGCTACCATCACCTGCCACCATCACATCCCATGCCACTGTGAATATCACTCCTACCTCCACCGAAGTACGGCTTGCGAAGGATGGAAGCAGCGTCTGAGAGACACGGGGATGAGGAGAGACAAGTTGCAAGTTGCAGAGAGACAAAGGGATGAGGAGAGGCAAACGGAACGAGAAGGGACGAGGAGGGGGGTGAGAAGGAAGGAAGAATGACAGCTGTTACAAAAAAAGAAACCACGAGAGGAAACAACCCATTGAGATTAGGATACACCTTGGGAGATGACAAAGGGATATACGAAAAAGCACATTCGAAGAGGAAAATGCACCTCGCCTTATGATAAGTGCTCCGAGGCCCGTGGGGAATCCAAATATCTGTTTATAGCAGGGCAAAAGAGGGTGACGTGCGAGAGGGTTGAGAATAGACGCTGGCTAGAAAATAATACAGAGAGCGAGTCAAAGCATTGGATACAGTTAACATTGCTAAGTCCTGAGACGTCTTAAAACGACATAGTCAAGGGCGCTACGACGAAATGGAGGCAGCCAGGGATGACGAGAGGGGACTGGAGGGGAAGGAAGAGAGGGGGAGAGAGGGGGCGAGAGGGGGAGAGAGGGGGCGAGAGGGGGAGAGAGGGGGCGAGAGGGGGAGAGAGGGGAAGAGAGGGGGAGAGAGGGGAAGAGGGGGGAGAGAGGGGGAGAGAGGCGCGAACCAGCTTGTTGAGAGAGGGAGATCAAGGAAAGTGAGAGAAACCGGGACAGAAGTGAGTAAGTCAGCAGGAAATTGCAAGAGGTCCGAGGGGTCCGAGGCAGCAGCTTTGGCAGCATACAAACGTGTGATGTGAACCAACCACTTGAGAGAAGGGGGAAGAAGGGAGGGAGAAGAGAGAGCGGCTCACCTTGTAGAAGGAGAGAGCGACAAAGTCAGCAGGGCACTGCGAGAGGTCCGGAGGGTCCGAGGCAGCAGCTTTGGCGGCGTCCAGAAGCACGAACCAGCGACGCGGGGGAGGAGCGCCCTCACAAGCGCCCTCACGAGCGCCCTCACTGCCACCGCCACTACCACCTGCCTCTCTTTCCGCTTCATTACCGGCTCTCCTGATCTTGGCGCCACTACTACCTACCTCTGCCCCATCACTACTCCTGGCCTTCCCACCACCCTCATCACCACCTGTCTTTTCACGCCCCCCTCCCAGCCACCCCCAGAGCGCCCCCACACCCACTCTACGGTGCAAGCTGCCCCACGCTCTGTCCTCTGAAGGTGCCTGCTTCTCTTGCTGCTGCCGCTGCTGCTGCTGCTGCTGTTGCTGCTCCCCCTGCTGCTGCTGCTGCCGCTGCTGCTCCCCCTGCCGCTGCTGCTGCTGAATCATCTCATCCAGACACCCCTCCTTTACTGACTGTACCAGCCTCAAGTCGTACTTCTCCCCGCTGAAGTTACTTTCAGCCGGCATTGTAAACAGGCACGGGACGAACGGCAGCAGCAGCTGCTGCTGCTGCTCCTGTTGCTGCTGCTGCTGCTCCTGTTGCTGCTGCTGCTCCTGTTGCTGCTGCTGCTCCTGTTGCTGCTGCTGCTGCTCCGCCTTCCTCCCTCTTCTCCCCCACCTGCCTCCTGCCACCTGCCCCTTTCCTCGTTCACTCTCCTCTCTTCCAGCCCCTGTAAATTGCTCTTGACGCCCCCCCACAGCAGCCTCCTCCCTTCCTGCCCTCGAAAACCGGTTCACCAGTCGAATCGACGCCCCTTCCACCACCCCTCCAAGGACCACACTACTACTTCTCCCACCTGTCCGTCTATCCTTCCTCACCTTCCCTGCCTCACTTTCTTTCCCCATGCGCCCTCCCACCCCATTACTCAAGCCTACCACTCCACCCTGTCTCGTCTTTCCCTCCCCATTGCCCCTCGCACCACTGCCTTTTGCGCTCGAGCCTCCCCCAGTCACATCTGTCCCATCAGCCACTCCTATCCCATCAGCCACACCTACCCGAGCCTCGCACCCAGGCTCAGAAGCAGCTCTGGTGGGCTGTGGTTCGGTCAGCATTGGTTCGGCAAGAAGGGCTGGAACTTGAGAAGGGCCGATTTCAGCATGAGCTCCCAACCCTACAGGTTCGACTTTCCTTACACGTGCTGCTATCCCCGCACCTGGACGTGGACCTGCTTGTGTTTGCAGTTGTCCACTATCAGCAACTGCTTGCGTTTGCAGTCGTCCAGTATCATCAACTGCTTGTGTTTTTTGTTGCCCGGTTGCAGCGGTGCGCTTGCTCCTGCTGCTGACGGGTAAAGCCAAACGAGCCTTCCTCCTGCTGCCCACCCTCACTCCCATCTTCCCCTCCTCTTCAACCCCTTCCTCCTCCTCCTCCTCCTCCTCCTCCTCCTCATCCTCCTCCTCCTCGTCCTCTTCATCCTCCTCATCCTCTTCCTCTCCTTCTTCCTCCTCCCGCTCCTCTTCCTCTGCTCCCTTGCGCCTGCTCTTGTTGCGCCCAGATAAGGCCACTCGAACCTTCCTCCTGCTGCCTACCCTCATTCCCACCTTCCCCCCCTCTTCCTCTGACTCATCTTCCTCCTCCTCCTCTTCCTCCTCCTCCTCTTCCTCCTCCTCCTCTTCCTCCTCCTCCTCTTCCTCCTCCTCCTCTTCCTCCTCCTCCTCCTCTTCCTCCTCCTCCTCTTCCTCCTCATGGTCCTCCTCTGCTCCCCTGCGCCTGCTCTTGTTGCTCCCAGGTAAGGCCACTCGAACCTTCCTCCTGCCACCTACCCTCACTCCCGCCTTCCCCCCCTCTTCATCCTCTGACTCATCTCCCTCGTCCTCCTCCACTTCCTCCTCCTCTTCCTCCTCCTCCTCCTCTTCCTCCTCTTCTTCCCCCTCCTTTGACCCCTTGCGTTTGTTCCTGCTCCCAGGTAAAGCCAATCTTACTTTTCTCCTATTGGCCAACCTCACAACCGCCCTTGTCTCCTCTTCTTCTTCCTCCTCTTCTTCTTCCTCTTCCTCCCCCCCCTCCTCCTCCTCCTCCTCTTCTTCTTCTTCTTCCTCCCCCCCCTCCTCCTGCTCCTCCTCTTCATCGTCCCCCTCCTCGTCCTCTGCTTCCTCCCCTTCCTCACTCCTCTCCTCTCCTCCAGATTCTTCTTTCACTTCCTTTCTCAATACCATAATAACTCCATCAACTTCCACTTCCTCCTTTCTCCCCTCCTCTTTGTCACTCAACTCTGCACTCTCATTCTCACTCTCCTTCTCACTTCCATTCTCACTCCCATCCTCACCACTCCCTTCTTCATCCTCCTCTTCCTCCTCTCCACATCCTTCGTTATCCGCTTCCTCTTCATCCCCCATATAGTCATCCTCATAGCTAATGTCAACAACAGACACTGTTGCGCCAGCTCTCAGTGCATACCTGCACGCAGCAACCACAGCAAACAGTGCAAAAAAAACAGGAAAACCAGAAGAAATTGGGGGGTGGGGGGAGGGAGGGGGGAACTGCATAAGAATCAATAGCCCCTCTATACTACTCCCTTCCCCACCTCCTCCCTTCCTTTTCCGAATCTCTTCTCACTCTCTCATCCTCACCACCGAGTTGTCATCATCATCAGATCGCTGTGTGTTTCAAAGTCGTCTTAAAAGCTCTCTCACTTCCATCCAGCATCGCGTTGAGCGTCATCGCCAGATGACCGTCTCCTACCCATTTGAGCACCTATTTCACCCTCAAGTCTCCCCTTCCCTCTAAACCTCAAACCCCTTCCCCTCTCCCCTCCTTACTCTCTGCTCCCTACGACAGAGCTGTGGTTGCCCAACGCCATCTCCAGGTCGCAGCCTGGCGCCCTTCTGATCTGGACGCACCCCTTCCCCCCAAAACACACACCAGCCTCCTCTAACCATCACATGCTCCAGGTGCAGGGATGCGCACTCACTCTCTAATTCCTATAACAGAGTCGTGGTTGTCCAAAGTCATCGCCAGCTGGCTGCCTGCCGTGCATCTAAATGCCCCTTTCAGCCATCTCGATTCTCGAGTGGTGAATCTTCCGTCTATAGCCCCAAAACCCTGCCCCTTTTCCCTGCTTACTCTCTGATCCCTAGCACCGAGTTGTGGTAGCCCAGCGTCATCGCCAGCTGGCTGCCTGCCGCCCATCTGAACGCCTCAACGGCAAACGGATGTGGTATTCTTCCCTTTGAACTCCAAACCCAAACCCCTTTTCCCCCTCCCATCCTCACTCTCTGATCCCTAAAACCGAGCTGTGGTAGTCCAGCGTCATCGCCAGCTGGCAGCCTGCCGCCCATCTGAACGCACCCCCTCACGGTCCTCACCCATCACACGTGACGTATCTTCTCGCAAAAACCCCGAACCCCTTCCCTACTACTCTACTCCCGATCCTTACTCTCTGATCCCTAGAACCAAGTTGTAGTTGTCCAGCCACCGTCATCGCCAGCTGGCTGCATGCCGCCCATCTGAATGCCTACTTCACCAATCTCGAGTGCCCTTTTCCCTCTTAACAAGACCCCTTTGCCGTCTACTCCCAATCCTTACTCTCTGATCCCTAGCACCGAATTGTGGTTGTCCACCGTCATCGCCAGCTGGCTGCCGGCCGCCCATCGAAACGCCTCGCCGACCGTTTTGAGCGCTGAAGTGGCGCCGCTGGTGAAGACGCAGGCGTAGAGGGAGGGGGGGGCGTGGCACATGGCTAGCACCTGAGGGGAACAGGGGTGATGATGAGGTGAGGAGATGCATGAGGCATGTGGACATGTGTAGAGGGAAATTGCAGGGTATTTTTTTGAACTCGTAGAAATAACGGGCATTGGCACATGGCTAGCACCTGAAGGGAATAGGGGAGGTGATGATGAGGACATACAGGAGCCATGTGGGTATGTGTAGAGAGGAATGGGGTGGGAGGGAGAAGGCGGAACGTGAAGCACTGGTGAAGACTCAGGCGCAGATAGAGGAAGGGCGGGTGGGGCACATGGCTAGGACGTGACGGGAATACACGGAAGGAGGAAAGAAGCGCCAGCAGCACCAATCATGCCGTTTCATGACTGAAAGGCTTGGGAAAGCTGAGAAAGGCTTGGGAAAGCTGAGAAAGGCTTGGGAAAGCTGAGAAAAGAGGCGAAGGAGCACCACCAGCTTTGCCATGTGTTTCCGTTGACGACCTTAGGCTCAGGCCCCGTGCGCCTGAAAACCTGTCGCTTCTGCTGCCATCACCTGAGCATCTGCTGCCATCACCTGAGCCTCTGTTGCCATCACCTGAGCATCTGCTGCCATCACCTGAGCATCTGCTGCCATCACCCGAGCCTCTGTTGCCATCACCTGAGCCTCTGTTGCCATCACCTGAAGGATACCTTCTCCCAGAGCCTCAAATCCACCTGAAGGCGTCAGACGAATTAACCGATCTTTGTCTGGTTATCCCCCTGAAAGCAACCTGGAGATTCACCTGAAATCGGTCCGAGTATTCACCTGATAGCCTGCTTGCTATTTCACCTGCATGCGTAGCGATTCAATGGCGTCTGCTGTAGCTGCACTGCTGCTACTGGCACTGTCTGTAACGAGGATAGGGCAGCGGAAGAGAAAGCAGGGGGGGAAGAGTGGAGGCAAGGGAGAAGGAAGATGGAGGCACGCGAGACGGAAGAAACATTCTAGTTTGAGGTGAGGCAGCAAGGCATAACAGAGAGGGAAGGACAAGCTTCTAGTCAAAGCTAAATGAAAGAGAGACGACGAAGAAGGAAAAACAGAAACATCTTACTGTTATTGAGGCGCCTCAAAAATAGCTGCAGTAGGAGGGGATCGGTTAGGAGACCTACCTGAGCCAAGGCACCTGCTTGTACCAACCCTGCATGTCTAGCTTGTACCCAGGATTGCCCATCAACGACGGACCGTTCGAGAGAGAGAGAGCTATAATGCAACCTTGTGCCACCGCTGATTTGCCTAGTCTGAACCTAGGTTCCTATCAATGCAAGTTAGAGCTTTAATGCTTTTGAGAGAGGAGAGAGTGTATGGGGGGGGAGTGCTTACGAGGGTTGGAGAAGAGGGAGCGAGTGAGGGCCCTGGTGGCAGCTGCCACCTGTGAGCGTGTGTACACTGCTGCTGCTGCATGGTCGAGGTACACGCAGCCTGAAACATGGGATGGGGGAGAGGCATGGGGGGAGAGGCATGGGGGGAGAGGCATGGGGGGAGAGGCATGGGGGGAGAGGCATGGGGGGAGAGGCATGGGGTGAGAGGCATGGGAGAAGAGAGAAGGTGAAGGGCCCTGGTGGCCGCTGCTACTTGAGAGCGTGTACACCGCTGCTGCTGCATGGTCGAGACGAACGGAAGGAAGGACGGAGAGACAAAATGCAAGGACAGAGAGACACGGGATATAAGAACACCTTTCAGCTGAGGGCACTCCAGTCCAGAGCCTATTTCTTAGGCGCCTCAAAAATAGACTCCTCAAAAACAGACTCCTAAAAAATAGACTCCTCAAAAACAGACTCCTCAAAAATAGACTCCTCAAAAACAGACTCCTCAAAAATAGACTCCTCAAAAACAGACTCCTCAAAAATAGACTCCTCAAAAACAGACTCCTCAAAAGTAGACTCCTCAAAAATAGACTCCTAAAAAACAGACTCCTCAAAAATAGACTCCTCAAAAATAGACTCCTCAAAAACAGACTCCTCAAAAACAGACTCCTCACGCACTCCAGAGCCCTGAACTCCTCCACGCTCAAACCGCCAGCCTGTGCAAGCCAGCAAGCAAGCACCCTGAACTTTTGACCTAGGGCTCAGACACCACCTTTCAGACACCCACCTTTCAGACACCCACCTTTCAGACACCCACCTTTCAGACACCCGCCTTTCAGCTGAGGGCACTCCAGAGCCTTGAACTCCTCCTCACTCAAACCACCAGCTGCACAAGCAAGCAGGCAAAAACCCTAGGCTTTCCACCTCAGCACTTTTACCCCCGGCACATAAAGCTCATGGTACCCAAGTGGTGTTCACTGCTCACTTTTGAGTCGACTCAAAAACCCTAGGCTTTTGAGTCGACTCAAAAACCCTAGGCTTTCCAACTCAGCACTTTGACCCCCGGCACATAAAGCCCATGGTACCCAAGTGGTGTTCACTGCTCACTCACACACACCTTTCAGCTGAGGGCACTCCAGAGCCCTGAACTCCTCCACACTCAAACCACCACCTGCAGCGCCTGTCACGCCAGCTGTAGCAGCAGCCGGTGCGCCAGCTATAGCCCCGGCTGCAGCAGTAGCAGCAGCTGTAGCAGGGTGCGCAAACCTGTAACTGTTCAGGTAACCACCAAACTCCCTCTCGTACTGCTCCTGTATACTAACGCCCTGAGGGGATGCTTGGGGGTCGTGGGAGCACGCTTGAGAGCCCTGGGGGCATGCTTGAGGGTCGTGGGGGCAGGCTTGAGGGTCGTGGGAGCACGCTTGAGGGCCCTGGGGGCATGCTTGGGGGTCGTGGGGGCACGCTTGAGAGCCCTGAGACCGCGCCTGATGATCGTGTGGGTATGCTGCCTCACAGCCAGGAAAGTTCTGCTTGCGAGATGCTTCACTGGCCGAAGAGTCGGCTTGAGTCGATTTGAGTCCTGCTTCCTCAGCAGCCGCCATGACCGAAGGAATCTGAGGCGCCTCACGAGTGACTTTCAGAATGGGTTCCTGCTCGTGAGATTCTTCGGGCGATGACTCATTAGTTGAAGCGCACTCTTGAGGTAATTCCTTGACAGGTTTGTCCTTAGGCGACTCCTTGACAGAAGAAATTCCTGGTGACCCTACTGGCGCAAGGGTTTCCTCCCCAGGCGACTCTTCCGCTTCCCCTCTCCTCCCGCTTGCCGGAAATCCACCGCTCCGCTTTCGAGGCTCCTTAAAGTCATCCTTGACTGAAGAAGCTCCTGTTGGGCCGTATGGCACAAGGGTTTCCTCCCCAGTCGACTCCTCCTCCTCTACTTCTCTCCTCCCACTCGCCGAAATTCCACCGCTCCGCTGGTTCCTCTCCCCATCCGCGATAAGAGCAATCCCGTTTGCGTCACGAGCAGGTCGCACGTCATTGCGACCATGCTCGGCTCCAGTCCGCGGTATCTGCCTGCGAACCATGACAATTCGTTGCTTACTAACACTCGGTCGCTCTTGAGTCGACTCAAATGCCGTTACTACTCTGCTCGGTCGCTCTTGGTTCCAGGCCGCGTTCTCTGCCTGCGAACCATGATGCCTGCTCGCTCTCTGCTACTGCCGTCTCGTGTCGTCGCCTCTGTTCCTCCTAACCTTCACTGCTGTAGGCTCCTCGTACAATGGCCTTCGCTGTTGTCACATCGTATGAAGTCACGTCCAGAAGGTTCTCACGCGAATCGTCTTCCCATGGGAATTGCCCAAGAGAAAGCAAGAGAGGACGATTGTGAGGCGCCTCAATAGTAAGCAGATCCTCTAAAAAGACCGTCTCGACATTCGAGTAAAAGCTTATCCTCGAAATTTACGTAACAAACGAAAGGAGACCAAAGTATTGAAACTCAATCAGGTAAACGAACCATGTGGAATCGAGAATAGAAGTCTACTGGTGAGCGGGGATCGTCAACGGAAACTAGCTTTCAGGGGGAACTGCAGATTGATCAGTTTATGCTAAGCATATTGCGTGACTGACATGCTGGGAGTGACGGAATTCCCGCCAAAAGGAAATGCGCGAAAGAGGGAGGCAATGACCCGACATAAGAAGCCTCGTTACGAAACACAACAGAACAGCTCAGCGTTCTTCTTCATGGCATCTTTAAAACGTGGTACACCTTGAAACGCACAGTAGAATAGATATAACATCTACAAAAGAATGGTGAGAGTACACCTTTAGAGCTTTGATGGAAGGGCAGCATCAGGTGTCCTAGTGCAACAGCTATTTCCGCTGCTATTGGTCGGAACTAAAACAGAAGCACCCGTTTCAGCTGGACTCTCGGGCTCACTAGGAGGAACATCAACAGCAGGCGATATGTTGAAGAAACCATGGGGCTGTACAAGGGACAAAGAGGGAGGTCGGGGGTCAAAGAAGGCAAAAGAAGTACTATAATCGCTTACGAGCTCTGTAACGGAAGGCATGGGTGCAAGCTTGACAAAGCCCAATAGTACAAAGATGTGGTTTACCAACATCAACACACCATGCTCGTCAGACCAACGCACCATGAGGCAAAAGCCGAGGTATTCACAGGGCATGACGGGCCAATCCTCCAGTCGTGGGACATGAGTGAGCCCAAACACATACCTGCACAGAGAGAAAGTTGGGGCGGGGTACGGAGGGGGGAGGCAGGGGAGGGGTAAATGCACCCCAAAGGAGACGGGAGGTGAGAATTGGAGAAGTAGGAGCAAATGACTGCACTCGAAAGTGACTGGGAAAAAAGGGTCAGCTTCAGAAAGAAGCATAGCTGAAGCAGCACTGATGGTACATGAAGGCACAAAAAAACGCATCTCACTCAAGGCTCGGAACGTACCAAAGCACCACGTCTGCATTGTCAATGGGTCTGTTCTGCTGCACCCACAACGGCAGCCCTTCGCCGACCCTAGGGTTCTGGTTCGGGAACTCGCCACCCGGAAACCGTTCCTCCGGGTGGTACGGCGTGACCCACAGGTTGTGCTTCAGGAACGCTGCCCGGCGGAGAAATTTCGCCTCGGGCTGCGCGAAGGGCAGGCAGTTGGATCCAGGCACGAGCTTGTAGGCCGTGGGGCGACCTGCCCTGTTGACTGCCCGGGTGTTTTGAACCTGCATTGCAGGACAGCCGGACACATTGTGAGGATTGCACTAGAGGAACAGGCGTCAGTCAGGGACAGAAGTCAAAGATCTCTTTAGAAGACTGCATTCAATGAACTCGACAACATGCAGTGTGTCGACCCCGTTAACTCCCTCACTGCTCCCTCATTCTCTCCCTCACTCCCTCCCTCACCAGCCAGTGGCGAGCAGCCAGCGGGTCCACATCCCTCATGCCCTCCCCCTCGGTGCGCAACACCCTCTCCTCCGCATAGAACGCATTGGCATGCGAATTGTGGGGTCCCTTTCCTTTATCACTACTCTCTCACTCCCTCCCTCCCCCACTCACCAGCCAGTGGCGAGCAGCCAGGGGGTCCACATCCCTCATGCCCTCCCCCTCGGTGCGCAACACCCTCTCCTCCGCATAGAAGGCATTGGCATGCGGGTTGTGGGGGCCCTCCTTTTCCATCCTCACGTTCAGCTCCACCACCTGAAGGATCGAAACAAAAGGGGGTCGTAGGCAGGTTGGGGATGAAGCACGGTTTCAAGATAGGTACCACTTGAAACAGGAGAAGTATGTGGGTGATGAGGGTGGGGCCCTCCTTTTCCATCCTCACCTTCAGCACCTTCAGCTCCAGCACCTGCTTTCCCCCTTTTCTGGTCTGCAGTCCACCGCCATGTCCAAGCAAGCGACGAACAAGTGCTGGTAGATGGAAGCGTAGAGATCGGGTGCTGCTGGCAGCATGCATTCACCCCCACCCGGATGGGTGCACAGAGGCCGGGCGCCAGCACCCTCACATCTGCATTCCACCCCCATACCTGGTTGCTCTTCTCCCCCGGTCGGCAGTCCACAGCCATGTCCATACGTGCAACGAAGAAGTGCTGGTGGATGGGGGCGTAGAGACCGGGCGCCAGCAACGTGCCGTACTTGCGCTCCTCTCCGTCCCTTACAGCACCGACAGATAAGATGCCGGTTAGCTTCACCTGAGCCTCGATCTTGCCGTCCTGTGGTGTGGAAGGGGAGGGAGCGGGAGGGGAGGGAGGAGAAGCAGGCGAAGGGTCATTCAGTGGCTGTAAAGAGCAGGAAACGTGGAGCAGAACAGTGGATGGGAATGTGGAGACCCGCTGCTAGCAGCATGCCGTACTCAAGCTGGGGCCAAGCGCCAGTCCACGTGCTTCCACAGCATACCGTGGTCCTCCTCGTGCATGCACACCGCGTTCTCATTCAACAATAGCCCCCCCGTCCGCTTTCTGCCTGTTCCCTGTCTACCAAAAGCTGCCTCACCTGGTAGAGGTACCAGAAGAAGCCTTACTCGTAGTTCGCCACTGTGCACACAAAGGATAGGACCAGTCTCCTCGATCTCCTCACTTCAGCATGCCCCGAGCGCCAGTCCACGTGCTTCCACAGCGTGCCGTGGTCCTCCTCGTGCATTCGAGAGAGCAAACGAGTGCATGTGTGATCGAGGAAGGGTGAGAGAGGAGCCTTACCTGGTAGAGGTACCAGAAGAAGCCGTACTCGTAGTTCGCCACTGTGCACACAAAGGATAGGACCAGTCTCCTGGACCGCCGCACTTCAGCGTGCCCTGAGCGCCAGTCCACGTGCTTCCACAGCATTCCGTGGTCCTCCTCGTGCATGCACACCACGTTCTCTATGGTCTCAACGCCCCCGATGAAGTTGCTCATGTGCGCATCAAAGTACCGGATCAACCCTAAACAGTCACAGCCCTGTTGGGGGTGGCACAGAGGTGGAAAGGTGGGTGAACAGAGCAGGGCGGGTTGCGGGTGCGCGTGTGGCGTCCACTATCGTCTCCACACCCCCAAAGAAGTTGCTCATGTGCGCATCAAAGTACCAGATCAACCCTAAACAGTCACAGCCATGGGGGGAAAGATGGAACAAGCAGAGGAAGGAGGAGAAGAGAGGGAATGGGAGGGCGAGGTGGGGTACATCAACGCACCGCATTCTCTATCGTCTCGACCCCCCTTTTGAAGTTGCTCGTGTCACACTCTTGCCACCCTACATGCAACACTACTGTCACTTTACTGCGAAACGTTCTCCCTAGCTGCAACTTTCCCAGTCTCAATGGCTGACGACTCTATCGTCTCGACTCCCCCGGCTGAAGTTGCTGATGCCATGTGCACGTCAAAGGGTTGAAGCCCCCACACAGCAAGACCACCAGATTTCCTCACCCCTTTCAGCGAGTGGGCGTTCAGTTTTGAGGCGCCTCAAAACTTGAAGCCCCCACACAGCAAGACCACCAGATTTCCTCACCCCTTTCAGCGAGTGGGCGTTCAGTTTTGAGGCGCCTCAAAACTTGAAGCCCCCACACAGCAAGACCACCAGATTTCCTCACCCCTTTCAGCGAGTGGGCGTTCAGTTTTGAGGCGCCTCAAAACTTGAAGCCCCCACACAGCAAGACCACCAGATTTCCTCACCCCTTTCAGCGACTGGGCGTTCAGTTTTGAGGCGCCTCAAAACTTGAAGCCCCCACACAGCAAGACCACCAGATTTCCTCACCCCTTTCAGCGACTGGGCGTTCAGTTTTGAGGCGCCTCAAAACTTGAAGCCCCCACACAGCAAGACCACCAGATTTCCTCACCCCTTTCAGCGAGTGGGCGTTCAGTTTTGAGGCGCCTCAAAACTTGAAGCCCCCACACAGCAAGACCACCAGATTTCCTCACCCCTTTCAGCGAGTGGGCGTTCAGTTTTGAGGCGCCTCAAAACTTGAAGCCCCCACACAGCAAGACCACCAGATTTCCTCACCCCTTTCAGCGACTGGGCGTTCAGTTTTGAGGCGCCTCAAAACTTGAAGCCCCCACACAGCAAGACCACCAGATTTCCTCACCCCTTTCAGCGACTGGGCGTTCAGTTTTGAGGCGCCTCAAAACTTGAAGCCCCCACACAGCAAGACCACCAGATTTCCTCACCCCTTTCAGCGACTGGGCGTTCAGTTTTGAGGCGCCTCAAAACTTGAAGCCCCCACACAGCAAGACCACCAGATTTCCTCACCCCTTTCAGCGACTGGGCGTTCAGTTTTGAGGCGCCTCAAAACTTGAAGCCCCCACACAGCAAGACCACCAGATTTCCTCACCCCTTTCAGCGAGTGGGCGTTCAGTTTTGAGGCGCCTCAAAACTTGAAGCCCCCACACAGCAAGACCACCAGATTTCCTCACCCCTTTCAGCGACTGGGCGTTCAGTTTTGAGGCGCCTCAAAACTTGAAGCCCCCACACAGCAAGACCACCAGATTTCCTCACCCTTTTCAGCGACTGGGCGTTCTTCCCCAGCCCATCCTTCCCGGCGTCAAACACGTTCTTCCTGTAGTGCGGCTCATGGGGGTCCCCACCCATACGGCACCACCATCTCGCAGAAGCTGAGTCGGTCTATAGGGTTGTAGCCACCTAAGACTTGTGGGGATACACTCACTCACTTTTTCCAGCGAGTGGGCGTTCTTCCCCAGCCCATCCTCCCCAGCGTCAAACGCGTTCTTGCGGTAGTGCAGCTCGTGCGGGTCGCCATACGGCACCACCATCTCACACAAGGAGAGGAGAGGCAATCAACAAGGGGGGTGGGCTTTCCACGCGACGTCAACACCAGCACATGCACTCACCTTTTTTAGCGAGTGGGCGTTCTTCCCCAACCCATCCTCCCCGGCGTCAAACGCGTTCTTCCTGTAGTGCGGGTCATTGGGGTCGCCATATGGCACCACCATCTCGCAGAAGCTCAGCCTGTGGGCGATGCCCCTCCTGCCGCTGCTGCCGTCGTCGTATGCCAGCGAGTGCAGCACCAGGCCCTCCTTGGGGGTAAACCCAACACGGAAACTCCACTGTAAGAGGGGAGGGGGTTTGGAACAGGGGGGAAAGAGAGGGGGAGAGACAGAGGGACAGCCAGGGAGGAGGTGAGCATGAGTGCTCCTCCTACCGCTGCTGCCATTGTCGTACGCGAGGAAGTGCAGCACCACGCCCTTCCTTGGGGGTAAAGCCCACTCGGAAACTCCACTGCAAGGGGGAGAGGCAGAGGAGATGAGGCAAGGAAACATGGGAGAGGGAAGTTTTGAGGCGCCTCAAAAAAAGGTAGAGGGGATGAGGCAAGGAAACGAGAGTAACAGGGGAGAGGAAAGAGAGGGAGCAAGGAGGGAAACGAGAGTGAAAAGACAGCAGAAGACAGTGCTGATCCTGCCACTGCTGCCGTTGTTGTATGTGAAGGAATGCAGCACCAGCCCTTCCTTGCGGGTAACGCCCACTCGGAAACTCCACTCCACTGAAAAGGGGGAGGAGGCAGAGGAGGAGCGTTTACAAGAAGAACGGAGAGTGACGGAGAGTGAACAAGTGATGCTCCTCCTGCCGCTGCTGCCATCGTCATATGCAAGGGAATGAGGCAACCGACCGTCCTTCGGGATAAAGTCCACATGGGAAGTTGTATAGGTAGAGCCCTACCCAGCTTCCACCCCCCTCTCTTACATTCTGCCACTCCACTGCGAATCCAGCCACTCTGAAGCTCGGCCCCTCTGGCTGCTCGATCTTTAATCGGCTTCAAAGCACTGCGGTTCACGACCCACATCCCCTCCCTACCATCCATACACACACGCACCCCCTGCCCAGCTGCCGCCCCCCTACCGTACCTTCTGCCACTCCACTGCATATCCAGCCACTCTGACGCTAGGCCCCTCTGGGGATGCTCAATCTTAATCAGCTTCAGATTGCTGCTGGCCACACTCCGCCCTCCCCTCACTACCACCCACACAATCTCCCATCCACCACCTACTCAGCTTCCACCCCCCAATCTTACCTTCTGCCACTCCACGGCGTATCCAGCCACTCTAAAGCTTGGTCCGTCTGGCTGCTCGATCTTAATCGGCTTCAGATCGCTGCGGTCAACGCCCCCCCTGTCCGCCCCTGGAGTGTAGTTGCGCAGGGGGTCGGGAGGCGGCAGGGGGATGAGCTCCTGATCTTCGCACTTGATAATTGCCATGGTCTGAATGGGGTTGGGGGTTGAGGGCGGGACGAAATGGGAGGAAGAGGGGAGGGGATGGGATGGGCAGGAAAAGCAAGGGGAGAGGGGGGGATAAGTGGCTTCAAATCGCAGCGGTCGATGCCCCCCTTGTCCGCCCCTGGAGTGTAGTTGCGCAAAAGGCGGGCGGGGGGAGGGGGATGAGCTCCTGATCTTCACACTTGATTATTGCCATGGTCTGAAGGGCAGCAGGGGACGGAAAGGAGAGGAGAGAAATGAAAATCGTATCCTGACACCCGCTGCTTGCACAGGGGGTCGGGCGGGGGGAGGGGGATGAGCTCTTGTTCTTCGCACTTGATCACTGCCGTGATCTGAAGATGAGTGGGGGGTGAGGGAGGGGAGGGGAGAAATGGGGAAGAGGAGACTGGTATCTGACCTGGAGTCAATGCAGGGGGGGAGGGATTGCTTGTCTCGCAGTCAATCAACGTCATGATCTGAAGGGCATTGTAACGAGGCAGTCTTTAGAGGGTATATCTTCTCACATGCAGTGCAGTGCATATGTACAGTAACGTATATCCCCTCCACAGGCATGGTGTATTCATTGTCCAGGGAGCAGTCAGAGAGGCGCATGCACGAGTGTTATTAACGAGACCGACTATAGAGGGTGTATGTTCTCACCTGCATGTCTACTGTAATGTAGATTCCTTCCACAGGCCTGGCGTATCCATTGTCCACGGAACAGTCAGAGGGGCAACGGTTTGTGTGCTATAATGCGATAAGTATACAACGAGAATTCCTCTTTGTTATCTTACCTGCATGTCTACAGTAACGTAAATTCCTTCAACAGGCCTGGCGTATCCATTGTCCAGGGAGCAGTCAGAGGGGCAGCGGCAGAAGACGATCGGCTTGGCGAGGCGGCGAGAGGGGTGGTCTGCTTCTGAGAAATAGCCCACGCACCTGCAGTCAGGGAGGAGAGAAATGCGGGGAAGAAAAGGATTATTCAGTTACCGACAGTAAAGAATTGCTGATGGGTCGTCACAACTCAAGTAGAGCGTGTGGCATGCGGTGTGAACACAACACATGGCAAATAGGACTCTTTTGCTACTCGTGTCGTACCATGTCTTACCAGCTGGCTGATACACTTTGCACCTTCCTAGCTATCAATCGACCACAAAGGTTGCGGCCAGGTTGTGGCCGAAGCAACCTGGCCGCAAAGGTTGCTGTGCTGTTAGCTTGTTTGCGCAAAGCAATCATGCACAGAGGCGGAAAGGATTCATACGCCCATTCCCAGCTGCGGAACCGAGCAATATGCTTGTGTCATTATTGCATCATGCTGACTCAGCATCCAGTCACGCTGACTCACCATGCGTCCACCATGACTAGTTCCATGTCATCCACTCCTCGCCGCCTCATCGCCTCCTGAAATGGCGGGTGCGCCTTCACTGCTGCCTCGCACTCTGCATACTCCACAGCGTCCTGGGGGGACCAGGAGGATGAGAGGAAGAAGGACGAGAGAAAGAAGGATGAGCGAAACATGCACGTGTGCGCATGAGTTTTGCATCGTGTGCCTACTGCTGCCTCGCACTCTGCAAACTCCACTGTGTCCTGGTGTTGAAAGAACGATGGGAGGAAGAAGGATGAGAGAAAGAAGGATGAGAGAAAGAAGGATGAGAGAAAGAAGGATGAGAGAAAGGATAGGATGAGAGGAAGAAGGATGAGAGGAAGGATGAGAGGAAGAAGGATGAGAGAAAGAAGGATGAGAGGAAGGATGAGAGGAAGAAGGATGAGAGGAAGAAGGATGAGAGGAAGAAGGATGAGAGGAAGAAGGATGAGAGGAAGAAGGATGAGAGGAAGAAGGATGAGAGGAAGAAGGATGAGAGAAACATGCACGTGTGCACATGAGGTGCATCATCACAAAATGGGTGTGCCTACTGCTGCCTCGCACTCTGCAAACTCCACTGCGTCCTGGTGGTGAAGGAGAGGGGGGGGGGGTTGAGGGGGGAGGAAGGCAGGATGAGAGCATGCTCTGCCTCACTCCATGGCGGGTGTGCCTTCACTGCTGCCTCACATCACATCACATTCAGCACACCGCACTGTTGGAAGGCCCTACAGGTTACAGCAGCTGCGGAGGGAGATAATGGCAAGCGGATGCGCAGAGACCAACAACCAATGGCCTGCTACTCTGCAGCAGCACCTTTGACTTGACCCACCACGGGTGGCTGAACGACTCACCATGGGCGGCTGAACGTCCTCCATGACGTGGGACGATTTGACTCGTCCCCGGTGGTGCCCCCCCCTTAGACTAGCATGCACCTCCGCCAACTCCACCACCCACACCGCCGTCTGATTGGTCAGCTTGTTCCACGTCACCAGCCTAGCTTCGCGGGGAGGGAGGCGGAGAACAGACGCCTTGGGGGAGGGGGAGGAGGCGGAGGGGGAAGCGACTAAGGAAGAGGGGGATAAGGAGGAGGAAGTGGAAGCAGGGTGGGTGCTGCTGGGAGGAGGAGGAAACGCCTTGCTCGGAGGGAGAAGGGGATTAGGGGGCGGTGGTATGTAGACGGAGTGCTGGTAGGGCGGGAAGAAGTAGGCGTCTGCTAGCGCGACCACGTCCTTGGGAGGCTCGTTAAGGGACACCTCGATAAACCGCATGGCGTCGCGCAGCTGAAACAAGGAACGGTAACGGAAGACAGTGGCCGAAACACGGGAAAAGGAGGGATTAAAACGAAAATGTCACGAAGAGAGGTCCAACGGTTGTAGGAGAAACGAACGATCTAATGGCGAATCAGCTAAAAGATTATTTCTCTATGTCTATGTCTTCAACGAAACGACCGGCCTTAAAAATAAAGAAACCGAGTCAAGATGACTGGAAAAAACCGACCCCGAAGCAAATATTACGGGATGATTGACCTGCCTCGGGGGTAGCGCCAGCAGCGCGGACGGTAGCGACGGCGACAGATACCTCCGCGGGGCTCAGCGGGTCCAGCGGATGCACTAACGGAGTCCTTCCGATGGAAACGACCTTGGAATGGGACTTGACGGACGCTGCCAGTTAACAGAAAAAAATCATTTCAGCCGTCGATTTTCGTCCAAGATTGTGTAATTTGGAAGACGAAGACGATATAATGCATCCAGCTCGGTATACGCCAGCGCTTTGCTAAGGCTGTAAGGCGAAATCAAGCGGAGCATAGGATGCTAACAGAACCAAACGAGTCGTTGAAATTCAAGCCTTACCCATCGACAATCGTCGAGACTAAGAAGTAAACCAACGAGTCGACGAAGATGCGACTATCTGGACTGGCGTGAATGGAAGTTATGAAAAAAAGGTTGTCAAATCTGGCAATGCTGAATCTGGATGCACGATAGAAGAGACTGCAAAACGAAAGTGTACGATAGGTTGTCTTGCGAAATTGGTACGGAATGTAATGCGCAACTGGGCGCGGGGGGACGCGATTCTGAAAGAAACGAGCCAATCTCGGTTCCTAGTCGGCTGTTATAACGTGGTCAGCAGCAACTTCCAGCATACGGAAGCTAAAGGTAGCAAACGAAGTGTCAAGAAATAGTGAGCGAAGCTAACTACCATAAAATGCGGTCAGACAGGGAGGCGAGGGAAGGGTATGAAAGGGAATGAGGAAGAATTGATAGGACGTCCCACCGTGTCACTCTATTGCACCGTACTAAATATTTTAAGAAAGTTATTTAAACCGTTCGGCACCACTTTTCTAGTGGATTCGTACCTACGACGCCGTCCCATCAAGCATTCGCGGAACCAAGCCCAACCACATGGCATCTTTTTCTGAACCAGGGCTAATTTTTCGTTTTACGGGACCCGGAAGGCACAGGATTCGCCTCGAAAAAGATCCTGAAATATCAGCGTTTCCTGGAAAATCCATCGGTTTTCCAGGATATCCCTGAGGCCTCCATATTCCCTAGTTTACACTGTCAGGAGGTTTGGCGAAAAGCGTCTTAGCGCATGAATATAGCGAATCACGAAGGTTCACAAGTAGCGAATCGAACCAGGCACAACCTGATTTGAGGGTGGGAGAACCATGTCATTGGGGAGGCTTATAGTAGCAGCTGAAGGGCGCCTCTCACAATATGCCTTTGTCAGAATAGTTTCCGGAAATGTACGAAAGGCTCCGGGTCCAGGAGAAAAATGTCCGGAAAAAGTCAGAACGTTTGTGAGACCGACCCTATCAAAATCCAGATTCCAGCCCAAAACACCCGGAATGTACCTGACATTCCGGATGTTTACCCTTGAACCGAGAGCCCTGTTCTGAACCTCTGTCGCTGGTTTGCCTACCTCGAAAATGTCGGCTGCCTCCCAAACCACATGGCGTCTCCTTGCTTAGGCTTCTTGAATCTTGACCCCTGCGCTTTAGATTCCCGCCAAAATGCGGTCAGGGCCGCCGTTTGCGGCACCTGATTTGCTTGCAACCACGCTAGAGAATTTCATCCAATCGGCTCACAACACAAAAAAATCACTATTAGAAGCTTATCCGACACAATTAGTCACACTGCGAATGCCAAGTATGCATTCACCATAAAACGAAAACGTTTTTTCTTCCTGGTGAATGTTATGTAGCCCTCAAGAACGCCAGCATCTGAAGGCGCGTTCCGGTGTGACAGGACTACAGCCCAAACCGGACCAGATGTGACGAGAACGGAAGTCCGGTGGGAGACAAAACGGAGATGTGCACAACAAACCGGGTTCAGTTTTGAGAGAAATCCCCAATGTCACCACCGCTCATGCGTGCCTTTTGCAAGCTCCAAGTTCCAACTGACCCGAAATAATCAGATTGTCCTCAGGCTGGCTTCCATGTCAAAGGTCAACCAGACTACAGAGGTACATGTCAGGGGATGAGCTGGCGACGCAGCGACGCTCCCGAACACCCCTCAGGAGGCGTCGCTCTGTCTAATCCCTTGAGTGAGACAGGCGAGGATTCCTCGTCAGCTCACCAGCCTTCACCAACGGCTCTTGCCTTTATTGTCCTCTTTTTAGCGTCGACGGGTGCCTGAAACGAGAATAGGCAGTGAATAGGAGAACGGCATCACTGGCTTGTGACGCGACTTGGTTGCTCTGACTGAGTCCGACTTTGTACAGTTTTGACGGGGGGGAACGACTAACCATGGCAGAACGGCGACTTCTTAGTGCCAGGTCTAGTTGTTGTGACTAATCACCCTTCAAGTCCGTTCAAGTAGTTATACCGTTCCGATTAAACCGCGGCTGAGAGACCTCGAGAAGCGCCGGTTCTGCGTATTCGTTAGTGCTGATTCGTCAGCAGTCATAGTGTGGTCGTTCTATCTAAATCGGTGACTACTTTCGTCTCAGCATCTCCGTCAATCGCGTAAGCCTGGAGTAGCCCGGTGTTTCTCTACGACGTCGCACACGTCGCAAAGCTGGCTAGGCGAAGGCGGATTCGTCGCAACGAAGCTTAGGAACTTGATAGGACTCGTACTTCTAATTCTACTCCCACGATATTCCACCCTTCGGAGCAAGCGGCTTGGCAGGCAGCCATGTTGGACCAGATCGTGAACCTGGTCATCCGGCCCCCACGGTACGACTGTAGAGATTAGTTGTAGAGTGATACCCGATATTAGCTGTTTCAGTTTGCCACCCATGTTGGACCAGATCGTGAACCTGGTCATCCGGCCTCCACGGTAAGATCGTTCAGCCGCTTTCTCATTGAGATTGTTGGTACCCTGTATAAGCAGTCTCGGTGCACCAGCCATGCTGGACCAGATCGCGAACCTGGTCATCCGGCCTCCGCGGTACGCCAGTAGAGTCTACCTGTAGAGTGATGCCTGATATAAGTTGTTTCGGGCTCAGGCGCCTCAAAACACCCCGTCGTCCTTTTTCCCCTCTGCCTGCATGCTCCTTTCCCCCTTCCCCCCCCAGGCAACCTCCCCCCACCACAGCACGGAGTACTGAGTACAGACTGACCTCATGGGACCTCTCTTTGAGCTCAGGCGCCGCAGAACGCCCATCTGCCCTTCTCCCTCTCCTTGTCCGCGTCTCCATCTCCTCTTCCCCCCCTCCTTTCCCCGTCCCACCCTCAGTGCGGAGTACTCAATACCGACTGACCTCGTAGGGCCTCTCTTCCCGCTCAGGCGCCTCAGAACACCCCATCTTCTCTTCTCCCCGTCCCCTTCTCTTTCTCCTCTTCTCCCCTCCTCCCTCCCCCCCTTCCCTCCTCCCCTGCAGTGCGGAGTACGCTGTACAGACCGACCTCGTGGGGCCTCTCTTTGCGCTCAGGGGAAGGCAGTACCGGCGACACGACCTTCAGGTGCGATTGCACCTCCAGTCAAGTTAATAGTAGCTCTCTACTGGGTGAGTTCCCCGAGTTCTTATATTGTTGGGGGCATTACCGCCGACACTTACCGCATGGGGCCTCACTTTGTGCTCAGGGGAAGGCAATACCGCCGACAAGACCTGCACGTGTGATTGCACTCCTAAGGCACCTTATTAGTAACTCTCTAGGCCCGGTAAATTCCTTCTGAGTCGACTCAAAGTACCGCCAACACGACCTACAGGTGTGATTGCACTCCTGAGGCACCTTAATAGTAACTCTCTAGTCCCAATCAATTCCTCGTGAGTAGACTCAATCGAAAGCCGTCTTTCTTTGCGCTCAGGGGAAGGCAGTCCCTGCAGGTGCGATTGCACTCCTAAGGCAGCTTAATAGTAACGACAGGTATGGTCTTCTCTCTAGTCCCAGTTAGTTCCAAGGAGACTTTTGGTGCGATTGCACTCCTAAGGCAGCTTAATAGTAACTCTCTAGTCCCAGTTAGTTCTGTGTGCTTTTACTGAGGGTGAAGCAGTACCGCCACCGCGACTTTCAGGTGGCTTTGCGTCTGCTAGTTCTATGTCAGAAAACCACGTCATAGAAGGTTTATTTTGAGACGTCTTAAGATGAACCTTTTACCACCTCTTCCCCTCCCCCCCCCCATCAGCATCTCTTCCATTGTTTCTTCACTCTTGGTGTCATCCACGTTTTTCCCCGTTTTTCAGTTTGCCTTCTTTGCTCATGGTGGAAGGGAAGCAGTGGGTGAAGCAGCGCTTAAGCAACAGGACGAAAGTTAGAAAAACAAAAAACCCGCTTGAAAACCGCAGGTCTCAAAAGCAATTTGAGAGGCGCCTATTTTTTTTTTCCTGCATTTCTTACTCTTACTTTCTCAGCTCGACCTTCCTCAGTTCGTGGCTACATGTGCTCAAGTGCAGACACTACCACCCCACCCCTTCCCCCCTCCCCTCATTTACTCCTGGCATTCTCTCTTCTCCAGCTTGTAAACAACCGAGGGCATGTTCTGGAGTGCAGTCACTACCTGCCAGCTCACATCCCGCCCAATCAAAAGCTGCCATGTGTCATTTACTGCCATGGGAACAGGTACATCTGTTGCGTCTCGTGCTGCATTTGGTCCAAAGGTATGATATGCTGTTTGAGCCATGGGAACAGGTATGGGAACAGGTATGGTAACAGGTATGGGAACAGGTATGTTTGCTGCCCGCCAACACATCCCCATCTATATACATTAAACGGCAGCACACCTGCGTGAGGAGTCCATTTTTGAGGCGCCTCAAAAATATGCTGCTCCCAGCCAACACATCCCCATCTATATACAGTAAACAGCAGCACACCTGCCATCACAACCCCAGTATTTCAAGGCTTACTTAATACTCTCTCCTCATCTCTCCCCCCCCCCCTCTCACCCTCATCCACACCCCATCCCCCCCAGTGGATGTCGGGCCGATGCCAGCGAGGCCGTGTTTGTGCTGCTCCCCTCCAACATCACGGTCTTTGCACTCGACTTCTCCGGCTCGGGCATGTCGCAAGGGGACTACGTCACCCTGGGAAGGTTTGAGGTAAGGGAGCATGGCTTTGTGGGGAGATAGGAGTGAAAAGAGGGCATTCATTCTTGTGCCCCACCACCCCGCCAACATTACAGTCTTTGCTCTCGACTTCTCGGGCTCGGGGATGTTGCACAGGGACTGCGTGACAGGAGGGCGGTTTGAGGTACGGTGCTGTAGGAATATAGCACTGTGTCCCAGTCACTGTAGGAGTCGGAAGCGAGAGCGAGTGTGTTTATGCATCTTGCAGAGAGCGAGTATCTGGGCTCCCTGCCAACATCACGACTTCGCCCTGGACTTTTCTGGCTTGGGCAAGCCAGAAAATTCTGACTTTTCTGGCTTGGGCAGAGGACTATGTCACCCTTGGAAGATTTGAGGTAAGAGACTGTCCTTTTTGGGAAGGAACATGTGTTTCCATTCTCGTGTGTTTCCATGTCTAATGATACTGGTGGACATGGACCATCCCCCGTTTCCCCTTCTCCCGTCTCCCCCGCGTACGCAGATGGAGGACCTACGCTAGCACGTAAGTGAGATCCCACGGATCGTGACTTTTGAGTCGACTCAAAAGTCACCTCGTCTCCCCTAGCGTACGCAGATGGAGGACCTACGCTAGCACGTAAGTGAGATCCCACGGATCGTGACTTTTGAGTCGACTCAAAAGTCACCTCGTCTCCCCCGCGTACGCAGATGGAGGACCTACGCTAGCACGTAAGTGAGATCCCACGGATCGTGACTTTTGAGTCGACTCAAAAGTCACCTCGTCTCCCCCGCGTACGCAGATGGAGGACCTACGCTAGCACGTAAGTGAGATCCCACGGATCGTGACTTTTGAGTCGACTCAAAAGTCACCTCGTCTCCCCCGCGTACGCAGATAGAGGACCTACGCTAGCACGTAAGTGAGATCCCACGGATCGTGACTTTTGAGTCGACTCAAAAGTCACCTCGTCTCCCCCGCGTACGCAGATGGAGGACCTACGCTAGCACGTAAGTGAGATCCCACGGATCGTGACTTTTGAGTCGACTCAAAAGTCACCTCGTCTCCCCCGCGTACGCAGATGGAGGACCTACGCTAGCACGTAAGTGAGATCCCACGGATCGTGACTTTTGAGTCGACTCAAAAGTCACCTCGTCTCCCCCGCGTACGCAGATGGAGGACCTACGCTAGCACGTAAGTGAGATCCCACGGATCGTGACTTTTGAGTCGACTCAAAAGTCACCTCGTCTCCCCCGCGTACGCAGATGGAGGACCTACGCTAGCACGTAAGTGAGATCCCACGGATCGTGACTTTTGAGTCGACTCAAAAGTCACCTCGTCTCCCCCGCGTACGCAGATGGAGGACCTACGCTAGCACGTAAGTGAGATCCCACGGATCGTGACTTTTGAGTCGACTCAAAAGTCACCTCGTCTCCCCCGCGTGCGCAGATGGAGGACCTACGCTAGCACGTAAGTGAGATCCCACGGATCGTGACTTTTGAGTCGACTCAAAAGTCACCTCGTCTCCCCCGCGTACGCAGATGGAGGACCTACGCTAGCACGTAAGTGAGATCCCACGGATCGTGACTTTTGAGTCGACTCAAAAGTCACCTCGTCTCCCCCGCGTACGCAGATGGAGGACCTACGCTAGCACGTAAGTGAGATCCCACGGATCGTGACTTTTGAGTCGACTCAAAAGTCACCTCGTCTCCCCCGCGTACGCAGATGGAGGACCTACGCTAGCACGTAAGTGAGATCCCACGGATCGTGCCTTTTGAGTCGACTCAAAAGTCACCTCGTCTCCCCCGCGTACGTAGATGGAGGACCTACGCTAGCACGTAAGTGAGATCCTACGGATCGTGCCTTTTGAGTCGACTCAAAAGTCACCTCGTCTCCCCCGCGTACGTAGATGGAGGACCTACGCTAGCACGTAAGTGAGATCCTACGGATCGTGCCGTTTGAGTCGACTCAAAAGTCACCTCGTCTCCCCCGCGTACGTAGATGGAGGACCTACGCTAGCACGTAAGTGAGATCCCACGGATCGTGCCTTTTGAGTCGACTCAAAAGTCACCTCGTCTCCCCCGCGTACGCAGATGGAGGACCTACGCTAGCACGTAAGTGAGATCCTACGGATCGTGCCGTTTGAGTCGACTCAAAAGTCACCTCGTCTCCCCCGCGTACGTAGATGGAGGACCTACGCTAGCACGTAAGTGAGATCCCACGGATCGTGCCTTTTGAGTCGACTCAAAAGTCACCTCGTCTCCCCCGTGTACGCAGATGGAGGACCTACGCTAGCACGTAAGTGAGATCCCACGGATCGTGCCTTTTGAGTCGACTCAAAAGTCACCTCGTCTCCCCCGCGTACGTAGATGGAGGACCTACGCTAGCACGTAAGTGAGATCCTACGGATCGTGCCGTTTGAGTCGACTCAAAAGTCACCTCGTCTCCCCCGCGTACGTAGATAAAGGACCTACGCTAGCACGTAAGTGAGATCCCACGGATCATCACTCATTGCAGAGGAAGAGCTGCAGTGTGGTACTGCAGGGTATTTTTGAGAATTCTAAAAAATGCTTCCGTCAGCAGAAAGATCAAATGCCTTGTAAAACAGAACTGGTTCTTTACTAAACAGAAACTAGGCTCTCAGTAGAGCTTACTCGAGATTGAAACAAGAGGTGAGAGGTCTCTCACCTTTTCATGATACCTCCAGCCGTCCCATCCCCCGTTTCCCCTTCTCCCAGCCATCTCCATCTCCCGTCACACCCGCTTACACAGATGGAGGACCTGGCAGCAGTGGTGGACCATTTACACATGGAGGGCTCAGTATCGCGTTTCTCACTCTCACAACCCCTCTCCACTAAACCGCTGTTACTGCTGCATTGCTCCCCCCCTGCACATGCAGATGGAGGGCCTGACAACAGTGGTGAACCATCTACGCGTGGTGTGTACCAGATTTTTTTATCTCCTTTCCTCTCTTCCCCGTTCTCTCCCCTCCCCCCCCGCACGTGCAGATGGAGGACCTGACAACAGTGGTGGACCATCTACGTGTGGAGGGCTCAGTATCACTCATAGGGCTGTGGGGACGATCCATGGGCGCTGTCACCTCGTGAGTGCCATGCTATGGGAAAGAGTAATTGCAATTGCTCGTCAAACCCCTGCAGCCACCCCTTCACCCCCTTGCAGTTAGAATTAGGGACAAGGGGTGAAGGGGTGGCTGCAGGGGTTTGACGAGGGCTGTGTACCGCTCAGAAGTCTGTGGGGCCAATCGATAATCATTCTCAAATCTTTGAGTGTTTTAAGGTAACGCGCCTACGGTAACGCGTCCACGGTAACGCGTTTACAGTAACACGCCTACGGTAACACGCCTATGGTAACGCACCTATGGTAATGCGCCTACGGTAACACGCCTACGGTAACGCGCCTACGGTAACGCGCCTACGGTAACGCGCCTACGGTAATGCGCCTACGGTAACAAGCCTACGGTAACACGCCTACGGTAACACGCCTACGGTAACACGCCTACGGTAACCCGCCTACGGTAACGCGTTTACGGTAACACGCCTACGGTAACGCGCCTACGGTAACGCGCCTACGGTAATGCGCCTACGGTAACAAGCCTACGGTAACACGCCTACGGTAACACGCCTACGGTAACACGCCTACGGTAACCCGCCTACGGTAACGCACCTACGGTAACACGCCTACGGTAACGCGCCTACGGTAACGCGCCTACGGTAATGCGCCTACGGTAATGCGCCTACGGTAACAAGCCTACGGTAACACGCCTACGGTAACACGCCTACGGTAACACGCCTACGGTAACACGCCTGCGGTAACACGCCTACGGTAACACGCCTGCGGTAACACGCCTACGGTAACACGCCTACGGTAACCCGCCTACGGTAACGCACCTACGGTAACACGCCTACGGTAACACGCCTACGGTAACACGCCTACGGTAACACGCCTACGGTAGCGACTGTGCTTCAAAGCTGACTTTTACACATGCTTCCCTGCTTTGAAGCGCCTAAAAACTAATCTGCCCTGTGGGGATCTGTTCCGCAGGGATGGTGCCGGACCACTTGTTTATTACGGTGCCTCAAAACACACTTTAAAGTACGCCTCCCGCTTTCCCGCCTCCTGGTTTCCGTGCAACCCCCCTGCTCCAGGCTTATGTATGCAGCCAAGGACCTGTCTATAGCGGGGATGGTGCTGGACAGCCCATTTTCCAACCTGCCCAACCTGATTCTCGAGCTCGTTGACACCTTCAAAATCAAGCTGCCCAAGTTCACGGTCAGCTGCTAAACATTTTCTTTATCCAGCTGCCCAGATTCATGATCGTTTTTGCTGTGGCTTGATGTGGCTTTTGAGACCATTCAAAAAAGTTGTTTGACGCATGCATTGCTGCAAAATATTTTTGCACATCTCGAATTCGCTGATGAATGAATCCCCCACCCCACTCGCAAATGAAGGTGTTGTTTTGGTTTACCATCTATGAAATCTGATAAAGAAGTAAGTGCCGGATTGCGACATCAATGGCTTGATGTGCTCTTGATGGGCTCATTTCTCCCTTGGCTCCCTTTGCTCCCGTCGCTCCTCTCCTTCACAGGTGAAGATGTTGGTGTACTATCTACGGAATCTGATAAAGAAGAAAGTGCCAGACTTTGACATCAACGACCTGGATGCAGTGGCCGTGGCGAAGACCAGCTTCATCCCGGTGCTGTTTGGGCATGCCTCGGGAGATACATTCATCCTGCCGCACCATTCGCAGCAAATACACGAAGCATACGCGGTGCGTGCAGTGCGTGTATGATGAGGTCATACGCAGTGTGGTGTGTTTACGGTCCAGCTTCATCCCAGTCAGTGCTGTTCGGCCATGCCTTGGGAGATACTTTCATCCTGCCGCACCACTCGCAGCAAATACACGAGGTCTATGCGGTGCATGCAGTGGATGTATGATGTGGTCACATGCAGTGCAGTGCGTTTACAGTCTAGCTTCATCCCGGTGCTTTTTGGACATGCCTGGGGAGATACATTCATCGTGCCACACCACTCGCAGCAAATACATGAGGCTTATGCGGTGTGTGTGCATACCATATGCATGTGCATGTGCATGTGCATGTGCATGTGCATGTGCATGTGCATGTGCATGTGCATGTGCATGTGCATGTGCATGTGCATGTGCATGTGCATGTGCATGTGCATGTGCATGTGCATGTGCATGTGCATGTGCATGTGCATGTGCATGTGCATGTGCATGTGCATGTGCATGTGCATGTGCATGTGCATGTGCATGTGGCCATCCCGTGCTGTTTGGACATGCGTCTGAGGGCACTTCAATTCTGCCGCAACGCTCGCAGAAAACGCACGAGGCCTATGTGGTGCGAGCATCTCTCAAGCAGTCCTTGTATTCCTGAAGCTTAGGTACAGTCTAGGGATGCGGTGGGGCCATATGCAGTGTGTTGAAGACCTGTTTGATCCCGGTTCTGCCAGGTGCATGTATGATGAGGTAGTATGCGGTGGGTGGGGTTGTTTACAGCTTTTAACATGTTGAAGTCTGACCCTTCCAACTTTCTTCTACGATTTCGCATCCATCTTCTTCCTCAACGTGCTGCAGCAGCCGCCCATAGAGGACGAGCCTTCGATTGAGGGACCACCGTTTTCCAAGGCGATTTGACTGGCACGCCGCTCAGCGCCTTGCCTCCTCTCTCCATCCCCCCATTCCCCTACTCCCCTGTGTGTTCCAGGGCGATAAAAACCTTATCACCTTTGCTGGCGACCACAACTCCCACCGCCCCAACTTCTTCTACGACTCCGCATCCATCTTCTTCCACAACGTGCTGCAGCCGCCGCCCATAGAGGACGAACCTCCCGCCCTCTACAGTCACATCCCCGGCAGTCTCCCCCTGGGTTTTGACCGGTCGCGGGAGGGGCCTGCAGGTGCTGCTGCTGCTGGTGGTGGTGGTGGTGGTGGTGCTGCTGCTGCTGCTGTCAGTGCAGCTGTTCCTGCGGGTGCTGTGTCTCGCGAGGGGTCTGGTACTGCTGCTGCTCCTTCGATGGCTGACTTAAACCATCGGCACACCAGCTACCAACGGCCCCCGCCTGTTGCCCAGGTACGCTTGTTGCCCCTTGTTTCCTAAGTGCCTGCGGCCCATGTGTTTAGCTGCAGATTTCCGTTTTCCGCGGCAATATTTCTACTCTAACAGGGTGAGGAGAGAGAGGTTGTATACCATATAGCCATGATCGTGAGATACTCTATCCAGGCTCCTCAGGTATCGGCTCATCTCTTTCTCCCCTCCCCAGTGTCCTCTTTCTCTCCCCCCCCCCCCCCCCTTCCCCTTCCCCCTCTCCCCCTCTCCCCCTCTCCTCCTTTTCCGCCCTCATCAGCCATCAGACAGTCTCATCAGCAGCCAAGGAGGACTTGGTGTACTTGATGGCAGCGTGTGCTCGCTCACTTTCTCGCTTTCCCTCACAACCTCTTCCGCTGCCACTTGTGTGCCCTTCCTGCCTTTCAGCCTGCCGACGGTCTGCTGAGCAGCGAGGACTTGGCTCGCCTCATGGCTGAGTTTGGTGCTTCCGTGCCTGCAGGAGAGGAGGTGAGAGAGCAAGAGGGAGGCAGAAAAGAAGAGGGAGGGTGAAATTTGAAGAGGGACAAGTCCAAATGGACCCAAGAGGGGAGTGTTTTAGAGGCGATTTGAAACTGGAAATATGGGCGACGCAGAGGCGCCCGCCACCAGGATCATATCGTGTGTCTTCTGTACAGCATGTCGCAATTCCACTCCGGTCCGTCTGTGTCGTGTCTTATCTTTTTGGCTTTAGCCTTTGAGGCGCCGCAAAGCATGCTTCCATCCTGGTGCTTCTGTATCTTGTCTTCTTTTGTATCTTGTCTTCTTCTGTATCTTGTTGATTTGTTTGGCATTTGACAGATGACGTTTCTCGTTTGTTTTCCTCTTTCCAAATCCAATCTCTGCCTTCCTTTCCTATCCACAATGCCTTGCCTGTTCTAAACCCTATATTTTTCAGTCCACTCATGGACTGGAAGATGACTTTGACGAGGATGAGGTGAGCAGTGACATACATATGACTGGAATGAAGGGGTGCGTTTCAAATCAACTAGATATTCATCTTATGACGAGGATGAGGTGAGCATTTGACATACATATGACTGGACTTTTCTCCCTGTCTTGTTTGTTCTACCTAGTGTTTCCCTTTACCTCACATCCACCATCATCCCCTCCCTCTTCCCCCCCCCATTCGCCCCCACTACCAACCCTGTCCTGCCACTTGAGTCAATATAATTTCCTACGCAACCCGATCTCACCCCACCCACCCATCCACCCTTCCTTCCTTCCATTCTTCTCGTTGCTACTATCAGATGCTTCAACAAGCCATTGCCCTTTCCTTGCTAGACCTGCAAGAGCACGAGGGCGGGGGATCGGGAACAAACATGGCAGGTGAAGGGGTATCAAGATAACCTACTCTCCCTGAGAAAGCCATTGGTCTGTCCTTGCCAGACCAATAAGATCACGGGGGGGGGGGGGGGTGATCTGGGGCAGGTGAACGGAATGCGATGAGGTGAATGTTTCAGGTTCAGGGTGGAGGGCCGAGATTGATGCCGTAGAACCACCATCGTACATTATCTTCATGCGAGAAGTCACATGACATTGCATGTGCGATAGATAAACGATTTTCCCAAGTCTTAATGCATACTTGTTCATAATCGTAACGGATAAGATGCATTTCAACGAGACCTACTATCATATGATCTTTCAACGGCTTGTGGTGTCATGTTAACTTCTGTACATATTGAACGGATTAACTTAGATTACTATTAAGTTTCATAGCCTCAGGGAATAATCAAAATTTGGGTATATTTAGGTTACTAGAAATGCTAGCGAGCTGCGCATTACCGATGATTTCCCATGCTTCCTCTTCCTCCTCCATCCCCCCCTCCGCGTCATTCTCGGCGCCTCTTCCGCTGCTCCAGCGTTCGACTGACGCTGGCCATGCAGCTCACTTTCCGCTCCTCTGACAATTAAGTATCGCGAGCAATCAAGCAAACGCCGTGTCGGATCCCCACATCTCCGCGAATCCCGCGTCAACACCGGGTATCTCCTCCATTCGCGTTGTTGTTTTCCCGCACTTCTGCTTGTAGCCGTATCAATACTACCTCCTCAAATCTTTCACTTGTTAGCTAATCGACGGCTAGGGTGCTGCGAGGACCGTCGCCTGCTTTAGACGGCTACAGTGGACTTCGTTACATTAAGCTTTTTCGATACGACCTCGCTGTAGAGCTCTTCCGATATAGTCGTCTCGCTGTAGAGGTCTTCGCTAAGGCGTTTCAAAGCCTGTCAGGATGGTGGGCGGGCCGGTGGTGAACATATACCCGTTAGAGAACTACTCGTTTGGCGTTAAGGAGCCCAAGATCGAGAAGGACACGTCAGTGGCGGACCGACTAGCGCGCATGAAGCACAAGTGAGGGGGGGGGGGGGGGGGGTGGGGGGGTGGTATGGGGAAAGAAGTGAAGATGGATAGAGGACGAGAGGAGGGGAATATAGGAGAAGGGGGGAGGAGGAAGAAGGACACGTCAGTGGCGGACCGTCTTGCACGCATGAAACACAAGTGAGGGGGGGGGTGGGTGGGGGGGGAGGAGAGTATGTGGGGGAAATGGAGGAAGGGAAGACGGGGGGAGGATTGGGGGTGAAGGGGGGAAAGGAGCCCGAGATCGATAAGGACACGTCAGTGGCGGACCGACTGGCGCGGATGACGCAAAAGTGAGGGGGGGGGTGATTGGGGAAGAGGGGGGGGGGGTCTGGGGAGAACGGTAGTGAGGGAAGGGCGAGAGGGGATGAGAACGAGTGTGGAGAGCACTCTTCTGGTGCACCACCACAATCACCCGCACATCCTGCTTCTGCCGCCCTCTCTGCCCCCCATTCCGCTCCCCCTTCCCCTTCCATCCCAACCCAACCAACCAGCTATCTGAAGGAGGGCATGAGAACGAGTGTGGAGGGCATTATTCTGGTGCACCACCACAATCACCCGCACATTCTGCTGCTGCAAATTGGGAATTCGTTCTTCAAGCTGCCCGGGGGCAGGCTAAAACCTGGGGAAGACGGTGCGCGTGATCTTGGTTTGTTTCGCATTTTGTTGTTAACCGCGTGCAATTTGTTTGATTTGAACGCCCTTTTCTTTTTTCTTTTTCTTTTTTCTATTTTTTCTTTTTGAGATGCCAGGAACTCTCACCCCATACTCCCTCACCCCATACTCCCTCACCTCACCCCATGCCTGTACTTCCCCCCGCCCACCACGCAGAGGTGGAGGGGCTAAGGCGCAAGCTCACTAGCAAGCTGGGTGTAAGTGCCTGCCTGGTGATTCATGCATGCGCATACATCCTACGCCCCATGCCTCCTCTTCCCCCCCCAACCCCCCATCGTACAGAGGTGGAGGGGCTAAGGCGCAAATTGACCAGCAAGCTGGGCCCCTCGGTTTCGATTCTGCCCGTGCCGGACTGGCAGGTGAGCAGAGCTGGAAAGCAGGTATGGGAGGTAGGTTCGGCAGGGAAGGCAGCAGGGAAGGTAGGTTTGGCATGGATGGCAGGTTCGGTAGGGAAGGTACGCAAGCTCACCAGCAAGTTGTGTCCGTCCATTTCCATTCTGCCCGTGCCAGACTGACAGGTCGGGTTGGGAGGTAGGATCGGGTGGTAGGTTCAGGTGGTAGGCCTGGAAGCTAGGCCTGGGAGGTAGGCCTGGGAGGTAGGCCTGGGAGGTAGGCCTGGGAGGTAGGCCTGGGAGGTAGGCCTGGGAGGTAGTCTTGCTGTGTGGTGACTGCTTATTTCTGAGACTCCCATGGCTGCTGCCCTTTTCCTCCCATACTTCCGTTCCCCCATTACCGGAATCCCCTCTCCCCACACACTGACCCACTCCCCCTCAGGTGGGGGAGTGCAGTGCAGAGTGGTGGCGGCCCAGCGCCGAGACTCCCATGTACCCATTTTGCCCGTACCCGCCCCTACTGCCCTCTCCTGCGCCCTGTTTCCCCATTCTGCCCCTCCCTAGCCTCTTCCCGCGCACTATCTCTCTCCCTCTCAGGTGGGCTCTGTGGTGTGGCGGCGGCCCAGTTTATAGGCTCTCATGTACCCCCCACTGCCCCTTCCGGTTGCCTTGCTTGTTCGCCCTTCTGCCGTCTCCTGTTGTCAGGTGGGGGAGTGCAGTGCGGTGTGGTGGCGGCCCAACTTTGAGACTCTCATGTACCCCTACTGCCCTCCGCACATCACAAAACCCAAGGTCGGTTGGTTTATGTAATTTTTTATAAGCCTCAAACACACCGTACTGCTACTCAAACACATGCACCTTTTATTTCGTCTGTGTGTTAGAGTGGATAGGCAAGAGCAGTATGGTGCGTTTGTGTGGTTCTGAGAAGCCTCAAATCAAACACACCATCCTGCCACTCAGACACATCCACCTTTTATCTCCTCGTTTCATTCGACAGGAGATAGAAGAAGCTCCTTGTGGTTCCCCTCACCAAGTGCCAGCACTACTTAGGAGTTCCCAAGGAACCGATGTTTTCCCTTGAGCTGACTCCTCTTCTCACTGCCCGCTCCCGTCCTCCCTCCCCCCCCCCCCCACCAGGAGATGAAGAAGCTCTTTGTGGTTCCCCTCACCGAGCGCCAGTACTTTGGCGTTCCCAAGAATCTCAAGCTGCTGGCGGTGCCTCTATTGGAGCTATATGACAACGTGCAGGTGAGAGGGATGCGAATGCGTGGCAATGTGACTGTTTTAACAAGGCGGCAAGTACCCGGCTATAGACAATCTCAAGCTGCTGGTAGTCCCACCGTTGGAGCTGCTTTTGAGTCGACTAAAAAAGCGGCAGTCCCACCATTGGAGCTGTAAGCCAATGTGCAGGAGAGAGAGGAATGGGTGTGATTGCACGATCTATACGATTAGGCAATGGTACTTTTATTTTCCCCCCCTTTTTTCCCCCTTTTTCCCCCCTTTTTGTCCCCTTCCCCCCCCCCCCTTTCTTTTTCGGTATCTGAAGCTGCTGGCGGTGCTTCTATGGGAGCTCTACGATGATTTGCAGGCGAGGGAGTGGGATGGGTGTGATTATAATGCAACGTGACAATATGGCCAAGTGGCGGTGCAATCTGCAGCTCCGAATCCCTCTTCCCTTCCTCTCCTCTGTTTCGCTTCCCTCACACCGCTATAGCCTATTTTTGCGGCGCCTAAAAAATAGACTCCTCACGCCTCCAAAATTTTGATGCGCCTCAAAAACAGCTCCTAATCCCTCTTCCCTTCCCCTCCTCTGTTTCGCTTCCCTCACTCTGCTACAGCCCAGTTAACTTCACCCCTTTTCAACCGCATTCCTCCCTTCCCCATCCCTCTTCCTTTCTGCCCCCGTTCTTTTCCGCCTCAGCGCTACGGCCCATTTGTCTCCCCCATTCCTTCTGCACCTCTCACTCCCTCTCTTCCGCAATCCGTCCTTCCTTTCCCTCATCCGTTTCCCTTCCCTCGCAGCGCTAGAGCCCGGTTATTTCCGCCATCCGTCTCCAGCTGTCAACCCCTCTTCCCCCCCCTTTCTCCGCAATCCTCTGCAACCCTCTTTCTCTTCCGTCGGAGCGCTACGGCCCGGTTGTTTCCGCCATTCCTCTGCAGCTGTCAGCCCCTCTTCCCTCCCCTTTCTCCGCAATCCCTCTGCAATCCCTTATGTCTTCCCTACCGTTTTTCTCTTCCCTCGCAGCGCTACGGCCCGGTTATCTCGGCCATTCCGTTGCAGCTGTCAAGATTCACTTTCAACCTTATCCACGACTCGTGATGACTCAGCCGTGACTCAGCAATGGCCCGTGGTGACTTCGATATGCCGTGGTGACACTAGATCTCATCAATCCGAGACTCATGTCCTGTCCTGCTCTCCTTTGTTCTAATATTTCGCACTGAGACCTTTCAGCTCCCCTGTGTTAACGTAGAAACGAATGATTACTAGAGGTGGAAACCTAGAACAAATACTAGTTGGTTGTACTCACTAGAAGCATACCTCAGTCTAGCCTATAACTTCTACATAGATAATATGTATAAGTTGACACACCCCCTAGGCTAGACAAGGGGTGAAACTAAACAAGAAGCAAACAGCTCAGGGCGGCACTACTAGTCCAACCACTGAGGCAGGGGTCTGGAGACCAGTCAGCAAGAATACAACCAAAACTGAAGCAAGCCAGGGTGGCACTACTAGTCCAGCCACTGGAGGTAAGGCCACAAGGCCAGTCTGACAAGCATATATAATAGAGAGTACACAATCAGGATCCTAACAGGGGAGCAGCTACAGGAACAAGACCAAGCTGTACACAGTGCCGCTGATGATCTTTAGGCGCAAGCGCCTTAGTAAAGATATCAGCTGTGTTGGCACCTGAGGCCAAGTGAACTACGCGGGCCTGGCGGCGCTGCTGTAGCTCGCGCAGGAGGAAGTACCGCAGCTGGATATGCTTCGCTCTGCCCTCAAGCCGAGGCTCCTGACACAGGAGTATCATGGCCCTGTTGTCAGCGTACAGGACCGGGGCAGAGCTAGGCCGCTCACCTAAGTCTGTGAGCAAGAAGGTCAGCCAGCGGAGCTCCTGTGCCGCCATGGCACCAGCGTAGATCTCAGCCTCACAGCTAGACTGAGCCACAGACGACGAGCGAGTGGATCTCCAAGAGATAGCACCCGAACCAAGGCTGAAACAGTAGCCCTGCGACGACCTGAGCGTCTCAGCGTCGTCTGCCCAAGAAGCGTCTGTGTGCCCAGTAAGGACCACTGGCCTGCGTCCTCCTAGCACTAACCCCATGCCTGATGTACTAGCAAGATAACGCAAAACCCTCTTAGCGGCAGACCAGTGCTGAGGTCGGTGTCTGCCTGTAGCCACAAAGCGAGCCAGGATGCTGAGAGGGTATGCGAGATCTGGGCGAGTGCAAGTCATCAGGTACATGAGGCAACCCACCAGCTCTGCGTAGGGGCCACTGGGCTCTACTGGCTCCTCAGGAACGGGAGCAGAGAGCCCATGGTCTACGGGTAGAGGTGTGGGCTGTGCAGAGGAGAACTGAAGACCGAACCTCTGAAGGACCTGACGCACCAAGTGTGACTGGGTCAGAGTGATGGTGCGTGCTGCTCTGTCCCTAGAGATCTGCAGGCCAAGATAGCGACGCAGCTCTCCAAGGTCAGTGCAGGTGTGTCTCTTCAGCAGCTCAGCCTTCACAGAGGCCAGTGCGTCCCTGTCAGGAGTAGCGAAGACCAGGTCGTCTACGTAGACAAGGATGTAGAACGGAGTCTGGCCGGAACGCACAAACAGTGAAGGGTCAGCAGAGGACGGAAAGAACTGCAGGTCTGCTAACGTGGCACGTAGCGTGTCGTGCCACTCGCGGGGAGCCTGACGCAGGCCGTAGACCGGGCGCCTGAGAAGCCACTGGGTCCCAGGAGGGAAGGTACCAGTGAAGCCCTGTGGTCGGCGCAGGTAGACCTGCTCGTGTAGGCTGCCCTGAAGAAAGGCAGTAGAGAAGTCGAGGGAGTGAAGCTCGTAGTCACGCTGTGCTGCTACGTGTAGCAGCGCCCGAAGAGTGGTCATCTTCGGGGTCGGGGCGAAGGTCTGGAAGAAGTCAACCCCCTCGCGCTGACTGAAACCTCTGGCCACGTAGCGCGCCTTGAAGACAGGCGGCTCTCCAGGGGGGCGCTTCACCTTGAAGAGCCACCGACCATCGACTACGTTCACCCCAGGCGGGGGAACTGCGTCGACGTAAGTGCCGGTGGATCTCCAAGATGCCATCTCCTGCTCCATGGCAGCTATCCACTGAGAGGCCCAAGGTCCCGAGGTGGCCTCAGCGTAGGTGCGAGGGGTCGGGATGTCGAAGGCGTCTGGGTCACCCTCAGGGACTAACAGCATGGAGCAGAGATGGGGAGCAGCCTCGGAAAGGAAAGCCAGCTCGTACTGCCTGTCCTCTAGGACGTCACTGCCAAGGGCAGGAGCACCCCCGACGGACAGAGGACGGGCAGGGTCAGAGACCAGAGCGGTAGCGTAGTCAAGGCGGCGGGTAGAGGCGAAGTCAGCGACAGCAGCGACAAGCGCGTCAAGGCGCGAGACAGGAACAGCAGGGTCGGTAACAAGAGAGGCAAGGACCCGAGGGACAAGGGGACGAGCAGCACGGAGGTAGTCAGAGAACGGAGGAGGTGCAACAGCAAGGGACGAGGGAGGAGGGGACGGGAGGAGGGGAGGACGAGACAAGTGGGAACGGAGCAACATAGGGTGGGTGGGCAGGACAGGAGAGACGGGACGAGCACGGGAGGGACGGCGAGCCCAAACGTGAGACGGAGGGGTAGGGTCAGGGGACAGCGGAGGAGACACAGGAGGGGAACGAGGAGGAAGACGGGCCGGAGACGAGTCTGGCGGCGGGAACACAGGACCGTAGACAGGAAGGTCAGGAGGCGGTGGGGGAGACACCGGCGCGCGGTCCGGGGAGGGAAGGCCGAGCAGGCGGAGAGCGGAAACCGGCGGCGACGGCTGCTGCGGCGGCGACGACGGCTGGGCCGGAACTCTCGGACCAGCAGAGGCAGAACGACCGTCGGCAGAACACTCAACAGCAGCACCCCCAGAACCAACACCCCCAGAGCGAGAACCCCCTCCAACACCAGCGGCACCCCCAGAAGCCGCAGGACGAACACCCTCCTCCACACCAGCACCCCCAGGGGCCGAGAGCAGTGGCGGCAGTGGCGGCAACGGCTGCGGCGGCGGCGACAGCGGCGACGGCTGCGGCAGCGACAGCGGCGGCGGCGGCGACGACAGCGGCGACGGCTGCGGCGGCGACGGCGACGGCGGCGGCAGCGGGGTCGGCGACTGCGACAGTGGGGGCGGAGGCACCGGGGAAGGGGGACGCTGCAAGGACGGACCGGGGGTACCACCAGAGTCAGCAGACTCCTCAACGGGGACAACCGACGGGAGGGGAGTGACGTGGGAGACACCAGACGGGGCAGGACGAGGCGGGAGAGGGGCAGGGGCTACCGGGGGAGAGGGAGCAAGGAAAAGGGGGGGGGCAACTGGGAGACCTCGGTGAGGGAAGCGGCGGTAGAAGGAGACGGACTCGTCAAAGGTGACGTCACGAGAGTGGAGGAAGCGGTGAGACGGCGGGTGGTAGAAAAGCCAGTCAGACGAGTCCAGGGGGAAACCGAGGAAGACACAGGGGACAGTGCGGGCAGTGAGCTTGTCCGTGCCAGAGGCACGAACGTGAGCAAGGCAGCCCCAGACGTGGAACGCAGACGCGTCACCGGGGGACCCGGTCCAAAGGAGGGTCGGCGAAACCTGCGGCCGCTGGGAGCGTGGCCACAGGTTAAGCTGGTGAGCCGCGTAGCGAACAGCGAACGGCCACAGAAAATGGGGGGCATCGGCATGGATCATGGAGGTACGGGCGACCTCCATGACCAAGCCGATGCGGCGCTCAGCAACCCCATTCTGCTGTGGCGAGTCCGGCAAGGTGTACGACTTGGTGATGCCCTCCGCACGACAGAACTGTCCAAGCCGACCAGAGGCGAACTCGCCGCCACGGTCGGAGTGGAGACACAACACGGGGAGACCGCGGTGGAGACGCGCAGCCACAACCCACGGGAGAAGAACGTCGGGCACGTCGGCCTTCCGCTCCAGGGGAAACACCGTGGTGTAGCGCGTGTAGTCGTCGACGAGCACAAGGAAGTAGCGCTCACCGCGCGGTCCGGGGACGGGGGCAGGGCCCCAAACGTCCAAGTGCAGGGTCTGAAGGGGGGCAGTAGCAGGACGCAGCGAGGAGGAGTGAGGAGCACGGCGGAGCCGACCCTCGACGCAAGGCGTGCACGGTGGCGCAGTCGAGGGAGGAAGGGCAGGGAGCGACGCGGGGAGACCTAAGACAAGACCGTGCTGGGACATGTGACGCAGACGCGGGAGAGCAGGGTGACCTAAGCGGTGGTGCCAGAGAAGGGAGGGGTGAGTGAGGGACCGACACGAGCAAGCTGCAGCGACCTGGGAGGACGCACCAACCGGGGGGGAAGCGGTGTGTAGGGTAAACAGACCGGACACCGGGTCCCGGGGGAACGTCGCAAGGGGGGAACCTGAGACAGCCTCAGAACAGACAGCGAACCGCTCGTGCCCGGGGAACGTGGTGGTGACGCCGAGGTCCTGGAGACAGCCGACACCAACCAGGTTCCTGGAGAACGAGGGAACGTGGAGGCCAGTAAGGGAGCCCGAGGGAACTGCCGGACAAGGAAGGGACGTAGAACTGCGCGCGACGACCGGACCCGCAGAGGGGTCAGCGAGAGAGACAACAGCAGGTGCAGCAAGCGGCGTGAGCGTGGAACGGTCGCGGAAGAAGCAGGCAGAAGCACCAGAGTCGAGAGTGAAGGACAGCGACGCAGTGGCGGAGGCCGGGGACGGAGCCGGTGCAGCGACTAGACTAGGCAACCTAGGCAGTCCTACGCCTGTCGCAGCAGGGGAAGCTGAGCTACACAAGGGTGAAACACCTAAACTAGAGTACACAGGGTAGTAAGATCCAGCAACACTAGAAGCGTCAGCATACAAAGCATGCAAAGCAGCACCTATCTGATCCATGTCTAACTCAAAGATCGGCACGCCCTGGCGGAGTAGGCTGTGCCAGTCAGGGAGGTCCGGGGCCGGGCCAAAGCGACGACGAAAAAGATCGTCGAGGCGGCGGAAACAGCGGGCGGTCGGGTGCGGGCGGCGGCACAGAGTGCCGCGGAGAGGCCCGGTCTGAAGCTGGTACTGGCAGGTCACAGCACTGGAGCCGCTGGTAGACGCCAAGCTGCGCGGGCCGCCACCACGGCCACCGCCTCCGGAGGTGCCGGGCCAACCAGGCGGGAGACGAGCCCACGGCTGCGGCGGGTGCTGCTGGGACGGCGGCTGCGGCTGGGGCTGGTCCTGCTGCTGCTGGGGCTGCTGCTCCTGCCCACCGGTGGTAGTCCCCTCAGGCGGACTACCGTCACCACCACCACGACCACTACCACCTGCATCACCACCCCTACCTCCCTGGCGGCCACGGCCACCGC